AAGTTGAAAATACATTATTATGTGCCTGTAAGGTAGCTTGTTGCTTATTCTGAATTAGGGAATTGACAAAATGGGGGTTGCTAGATTCTGGATGCAAGGAACAATTTAACAATTATAAAAAAAATTCTTTTGTCATTTATTATTGTTTAAAAAGGTATATAAAAATTACCACTGTAACCATTTTAAAGCATGCAGTACTATGGCATTAAGTACATCCACATTGTTCAACTTTCCCCACCATTCATTTCCAGAACTTTCCTCTTTCCAAAGGAAGTCTGTACCCATGCAACACTCTCATCCTCCTCCCCACAAGTCCCTGGCAACCACCATTCTCCTTTCTGACTCCGTCCATTCTAGGGACTTCATGTAAGTGGAGTCTCACCATTTTAGTCAGATTTTTTGCTGCTTTAACTAAAAGATCCAGCCAGAACAATTGTATGTGAGGAAACGTTGATTTAGGGGCTCCTGGTTTCAAAGGCTGCAGTCTACATATAGAAGGCCGGCTCTATTATTCAGAGATTGAGGTGAGGCAGAAGAGCGTGGCAGAGGGAAACGGCTCACTTGATGATCAGGAAGTAGAGAGATTCCACTTACCAGATTAAAAAAAATAATAATAATATATATATATATCCCAAAAGCAAACCCCAATGACCCACCACCTCCAGCCACGTCCTACCTGCCTTCAGTTACCACTCATTAATCCCCATCGGGATCAATTCACTGATTGGATTAAGGCTTTCATGATCTGATTATTTCTCCTGTAAACCCTCTTGGATTGTCTTGCACATGAGCTTTTGGGGGACACTTCACATCCGAAACATAACACGCACAGTGTGTGCCCTTTTGTTACGGGCTTATTTCACTTAATGTGGTGTCCTTAGGAAATAGCCATGTTGTAGCATGTATCAGAATTTCCTTCCCTTTAAAGGCAGAACAACATAGGTGTGTACCATACTTCATTTGTCTGGTGATGGACAATGTTTTTTTTTTTTTCAATTTTTTGAACAAAAATAATGAGACTGGGCCTGTTCTTATGCAGCATGCCTGTGTGGCTGAGGTAGAGGGGAGGCCAGCAGCCCCTGCTCTTCAGTGCTGAGACTAATTAGCTATGTAGCTTTAAATAAACCACTTGTTCTGAGCAATTACATACTGTCGTAAAATGAATGGGTAAGGTTGGGATTATTAGATATTCTCTGAAGATTATTTCCCCTTTAAAAACCTCTTTCTCACTTAATTGTAAGTCTCTGGTTTGGTACAATTTGCATTTTAGTGCTCACTTTGTTTAATCATGAGCTATTTTGATAAATTCTGCTCCCTTCCTCTCTAACCTAGTTATTGAGATCATTTACTCCACCCCCCTCCTAATGGGTAGTTTTATCTTCTCTTCATTTTTTTGGGGTGTATTTAAATGCCCTTTTTATTATTAGAGATCTAAGTTGCTGTTTAATGATCAGTTGTTTAGATTTGCCTCTCCTTGGTGAAATTCAGAAATAATTTAATACAGAAGAGCTATTTTCTCCCTGGTATTTTCATAGCTCGGCTAAGGAACCATGGAGAAATTATTTTAAAAATCAGTGTATTAAAAAGACTGGCTTTGAAAGATAAAACTTTCTCAAATATGTAATAGAAAGAGTTTTGGAAAGTGTTATACTGTGCATATGTCGATCTTTCTGGGAGATTGACACATCCCAGAGTTTTAGGAAGGGTGCAGAAGTGACCACGCCCAATCACTGGCCGCCTTGAGTGAATTAAAATTCATGAGTGTTGACTCCATGCATCGAAGTTGCGGATTCTGAACATTTGGGAATCGGTAACTTTTTTTCTTCTTTCTGAATTGCCTTCTGTTTAGGCAGGGTTTAATAAAACCAGCAGCTTACCCAAGGAAAATACTACCATTTTTGGAATGGAGGAGCCATATGACTTAACAAATTGAAGCATGTGACGCAGGCCAAGTAATTCAAACCCATGTGTGGCAGAGAGTTCTCCCATCGAATCCCAGGTCCTCCAAGATATTTCTCAATCCCCTGTTTGGCCTTCATCTTTTGCTTACCAGGTTCAGTTTCTCCCACTTTAATAGTTTGTGACAGCATCAGTTGCTGCTGTCACCATGCGAAGCCTGGTTTCTGCTCCGCTTCTTTGAAGTGGATAAATGCTTTGTTCATAGAGGGAGATGGCCCTTTGCAGCCCTCTCTGCTGGGCCATCACGTTGGGGGGCGTGTGAAGGCTGAGTGGACATGCCCAAGAGCAGCCAGCTTCTGGCCCCATGGCCTTTGTGTTTGTGAAGGCAAAGTTCTTCCTGGGAACAGGAGATGGGAGGTCACCTGCCCTCTCTTGAATCCCCCCGCCCTGCGTTTCTGAACTTCTCAGTGGAGACAGGATGTCTGACTTGGCTTCTCGGGGTTGGTGTTGGGGGAAGCCCCTTGTTTCTCTACCCATCTTTATTCCCACACTCTCTAGTATGTCTTGCTATCTCAGGTCTAGAGAAGAAGAATCAAATTGTTTTTGCTCTAATCAAGATTTTTAGGCTAGGAAGAAGTTAGCATAACCTTATGTGACAGTGTCCCTCGGTGTCTGAGGAAGACTGGTTTCAGGACCCCCTCAGATCCCAGACTCCTTGGATACTGGAGCCCCACATATAAAATGGAAGGGTGCTGGTAAGGGCTTCCCCTTGTAGTCTTCTAGCCTGGGACAGGAGTGGGACACTCCCACTTCCAATAAGACCATGACCACCTCAGAAACGCCAGGTCCTGTTCCAGGATAGAGAACTCCAAGAACAGTGTGGGGAGGAGGCTGAGAAAGGTGTTGAGTGTTTTTGCAGTTCCTGTCACAAAGAGACCTCGAGACTATTTACTTAAAAAGATGTGAGATTTCCATGCGTTTGTCCGTTTTTTCTTTGTGACAAAAATACCCAAGGACAACTTGGAGGAGGAAAATTTGATTTGAGCTCGTGGTTTCCGAGGTCTAGTCCATGGTCACCCGAGTCTGTTGCTCTGAGGAGGAACGTGACTGCAGGACAAGGAAGCTGCCCTGCTCTTGGTGGCCAGGAAGCAGGGGGTGGGGTGGGAAGGGGGTGCAGAGAAGATGACCACTCCTCCAGCCACGCCCCCTCCTACATCACCACTCAGTTTCATCCATTCAAAGGAGGATGGACGGCTTAGGTCATGGCACTCCGAATCTAATCCTTGCCCCTCTGAACATTCCTGCATTACCATAGGGGTTTTGGGGAACACCTCGTGTCCAAACCACAACACCACACAGTTCCTATTCATGCCACGTAAGGCTGAACTGGTGTGTTAGGCATGGTAGTTTTATTCAGCCCTTGGGGTCTGGATCTTTGTTTCATTTTGTAGGAGTTATAATGGGAGGTTTACCCCTGGAGTTAGGGGCACCAATGAGCTTTTTGCTAGACCTTCCAGGTTCATTTGTCTAGTTTGGGACATTTTGCTCTTTCTAGTCCTTGTGTTATTTGATGCAGGGTTTGTTTAATTCTTTGCACCCCTATCCGCAATCTTGGTGCAAGATTTTGCTGGGGATAAGTGGGTTCCGTTGCTGGTGCGCTGCTCCCTGGCAGGCCTGGAAGTTTCCCTTAGCGTCGCAGGACAAGGTGGGAGGAGCTGACGGCACCCCCCTCATGGAAGAGGAGTCCCTCAATGACCTTCTGTTGTAATTCAGCAGTCGGTTAATGGCCACTTACTGGAAAATGTTACTAGGCTCTGCGGTGAGTGTTGTTAGAAACTGAATTACTCTGCCTATTTCCCCAGGGCCCCTTCCCCGCTGCGCCTGGAGTAGACACTTTGAGCTGCAGGAAGTGGCACTGTGTTGCAATCACAGCTTCATTGTTCTTCTGGATTATTTATTTTTGTGTTTCAAAAATAATCATATTTTCATGGTACTAGATTTTAATGGCACTAGAGGCTTGCCAAGACCCCCAGAAAGTCACTGGGTTATTTGCCGGGTAGCCCCAGCCTGAGGCTATCCAGCAATGTGGTGGCACATGTGATGAATTTGAGTCACTGTAAACCTCCCTCCTTGTCTTCACCCCTGAAATGACTTCCAACAGCCAGTCACTTCTTATGATTTTGTGAAATTACTTTACAAAATCTTTCCTAGGCCACAGATCTAAGAGATAGGAGTTCACTAGCTGGGTGACCCTGACAATTCACCTAACCTTTCTGAGCCTTAGTATTACCTGTTGACAAATAGGAAGATAGATTCCCAGGGATGGGGGAAATCAATGAAATGATGCTAGTGGAGGCAATACTACAAAGCCTGGCATTACTAAACTCTTATCAAAAGTTTCTGTCTTGCCAGTGTGAAAATAAAATGGGCAACGAAGTGTCCCCATTTGTTGGGTAGGGTGTTGGGACAAAGGAGATCACCCATGGGTTTTCTTTTGGTCTGGAGAGATCTGCCCCTCTTGCTTCCACACAGGAATACAGGTGCCTGCTACCTCTGATTGTGGGGGACAGCGGGGCCACATTCTGGGGCCTGTCCTGGTAGACCCCATCTTCCTTAGCCCAGGGGTGGATGGCTTGTTTCTGGTTGGATGGTTGGGAGCATTCTGCCTCTAGCTGTACCAAGTGTTTTTGGGGAAAGGTTGGTCTCCTTCCAGGGGACTGCACACTAGGATGGCCACATTATTCCCATTTCTGGGTCATGTTTTCAGCTCCTCAAGACCCACTAGGGATCTTGATCCTTTCTAATTGAAATAATTGTCACCAGCCTCCCACTTAATTACTGTGGCTGCTGCTGCTGCTGCTGCTCTCTCCCCGACATGAGCAGAGGAAGTCCTCTGAGGCCCTTGGCAGCCTTTCTATCTGATGGCACCAGAGCCTGGATTTTTGAGGTTTCGTGGATTCCTGAGACTTTCTTTCTGTGCCCGAGTCTGGTCAGCATCCCTGGCCCAGCTCGCAGAGGCACTGGGGGAAGGGGCTGGGTCCACGCACGATTGGCCCACACTGACATGTCTGGTCTGCTTCTCTTTCCTTCTCCCCCTCCAGAGTATAAGAAGAAGTATGGAGAGGAACATGGCTCCTGCCAGGCTGGGATAGCAGGCTTCTTCACTGAGGTGGGTGATTCTGCCTGGGGAATGCCTCTTTTGGGTGTTCACTTCCTGGCTTTTTGTGATATTTTGTGACCTCCAGAGGGGAGTGCTGTTAGTGTCCCAGACGCTCGAGCTGTGGGTGAGTCGATTCTGGTCCTTACATCGGGGAGGGTTATTTAAGCCTGGTCAGGGGCACTGGCTGGGCAGAGGCTGCTGGTGGCCTGACTGACTCAAATTTCCAAACATGTCAGTTTGATGCTGTAAACCTCTGGAGGGACCTGATTAAAGGGATACAATGGCCAGGCATGATGGTGTATGCCTGTAATCCCAGTGGCTTGGGAGGCTGAGGCAGGAGGATTGTGAGTTCAAGGCCAGCTTCAGCAACCTAGTGAAATCCTGTCTGTAAATAAAGTATAAAAAAGGCTGGGGATGTGGCTCAGAGGTTAAGCGTCCCTGACACAGCATGCAGGCAGCTGGTGCCTAAGTGTACACTCGTCACCTCATAGTGCTCCTCTTGATGGAGGGACTCAACATACAATCCTAGACCTTTTCTCAACCTCTCAAGGACCCTACACTTGAATGTGCCCTGTCAGCGGCCCTGTGACGTCTGGCCTGTAGTTCATTTTTAGTTACTGTTTTCTTACTTGTTCTCATCTCCTGCAAGTTTGTTCTTTGCTTCTTCTCCTCGTTCCTTGGACATCTTTAGGACCGCCTGCCTTCTGCAAAGTTCCTTGCTAAGCTCTGGAAGTGGCACCGTTGTCTGTGTGGTCCCTTGCATCACATAAAAAATACTTCTGAAATCTTACTGTTTGAAGTTTCCAAACGTATCCCGAATGACGGCTTTTCTGATCGCCACCGAAAAAGGGTAGAAAGGGTAGAAAGTCGATCAGCACACGTGTCTGGAAGGGCCACTGCCCTCACTTGGCGATACACTGGCCCTGAGTTGGGTTCCCCTGTCCATTTTATTATAGTCATTGAATTAATGCACATTAAACATTTTAAATGTGGGATCGGTGACATTTAGTGCATTTGCAGTGTCACACAACTGTCACCGTCATCCACTTTTTAAACATTTTCTCGGTCCCAGGCTGTGCCTGTGCTTGGCTCTTGCAGTATGTCTTCTGCACTCCAGCCTAAGGATTCTTTCAAAGTCAGACCTTTCATGTAGACTCTCTGGCTTCTCATGACAGGGAAGATTAAACCCCAAACTTCACATCTTGGCCTAAGGGCTTGACTCTGATGCCACCTATCTCTCCCTTCTTTGCTATAGGACTGCAGAGAGCTGAAAGACAGCATGTGACATCGAGGGGAGGGGGAGTAAGGACTCTGACCCCACTGTCAGGTTTCCAAAGCTTTCTGCAGAGCATCCCTTCTAAGTCAGGAGTGAAACGGGCCATCTTGATCTGAGAAATGGCTATTTTAATTCAGAGAAAATAGATGGAACCACCATTTGATCCAGCTATCCCTCTCCTTGGTCTATACCCAAAGGACTTAAAAACAGCCTACTACAGGGACACGGCCACATCAATGTTTATAGCAGCACAGTTCACAATAGCTAAACTGTGGAGCCAACCTAGATGCCCTTCAGTGGATGAATGGATAAATAAAATGTGGCATATATACACAATGGAATTTTTACTCAGCAATAAAAGAATAAAATCATGGCATTTGAGGTAAATGGATTGCGTTAGAGAAGATAATACTAAGTGAAGTTAGCCAATCCCCAAAAACCAAATGCTGAATGTTTTCTCTGATATAAGGGGGGTGACTCATAGATGGGGCAGGGAGGGGGAGCATGGGAGGAATAGATGAACTCTAGATAGGGCAGAGGGGTGGAAGGGAAAGGGGAGGGGTCGGGGGGTTAGCAAGGATGGTGGAATGTGATGGACATCATTATCCAAAGTACATGAATGAAGACATGAATTGGTGTCAACATACTTTATATACAACCAGAGAGATGAACAATTTGTGCTCTATATATGTAATAAGAATTGTAGTGCATTCCACTGTCATTGATATTTTTAAAAAAGTCAATAAAAAGACAGTTGGCAATATAGTGTGCAAACAGCAAAAATGAAAGGTAGAAAGTCGAATTTTTTAATCGTCTTTTACTCAAACCAATAAATGGGAGGCACCTCCCTCCCAACCCCCAGCAATTCCACTGTGTCCCTTCACGCAGGCATTGGTTTTGTGACTGCCCCAGAGAATTCTGCCCTGGGCCTTGTGAATGGTACCACCAGTGTCCTAGCTGGCGAGGCCAAAAGCTTTAAAAATTCCCCTCTCACTGAGGTATCAGCAACCAGCACGTCCTACCCCTTTTGCCCTCAAAACTTATCATGCAAACGTTTCTCTCCACATCCTCTGGCACCCCACAAATCAGCTGCGATTGTTCTGCTCCTAGCCCACTGCAGAGCCTTCCTGTTGTCCTGCTTCCACCCTTTCCTCCTGACAGACGAGTTCTAGGACCTTCTACATACAAAAGTGTCACGGCTTCTTGCTCAGAACTGTCCAGTATCTTCCCATCCGCTTACAAGAAAATCCAGATGCTTCCCCTCATCCGGCATCCCGGATCCTCCTGCCTTTTCAGCCTCTTCCATTCCTAGCCTCGGCCCACTGCCTCCAGCTGCAGTGAGTGAGATGCTGTACGAACAGGCCACAGTCTCACTATGGTGGCGTGCTGGAGATTAGCCACTGCCTTTTGAGCACAAGTGCATGCGTAGAGGAGATGGGTAGGAGGGTCCAGCAGTACCCAGAATTTGATACATTCAGGAAAATTGCATTACAAAAGTGTTTACTAATTGGCATTTTTCCCACTTCCATCACACCTGTCCCATCGCTCTCTTACCAATGTTAACAATTTTTGCCATTGGAAAAGGAAATCTCATTTTAATGTCCCATGAGCTGATTATTAGTATAATTTGTTATCTTTCTTAAACATTGGCCATTTGTATTTTTCTGGAAATTACTTGTGATTCTGAGTCCAGTGTTCTGATTTTGTTGTTCTTTGCTGAGTTGTAGGAACTTGTTACATAGTTTCAACATTCTTTATTGAAAAAAAAATTTCTGATCAGTGGTATTTTTTTCCCCTCTCTTTTTGGGGTACCGGAGATTGAAATCGGGGGCACATAACCACTGAGTCACATCCCAGCCCTATTTTTTATTTTATTTAGAGACAGGGTCTCACTGAGTTGCTTAGCACCTTGCTGTTGCTGAGGCTGGCTTTGAACTACTGATCCTCCTGCCTCAGCCTCCCAATCCACTGGGATTATAGGCGTGTGCCACCGCGCCCAGCTCAGCTTCTTTTAACTGTGCTTTGTCTCTGTTGTACTAGTGTTACACATTCATGTTTGGTCAAATATACTTTTTCTGGATTCTAGAGTTGTGTTAATTAGTAAAGGATATCTCTAAGAACATGAAATTATTCACCTATATTTTCTTCTAGTCCTTTTACAGATTTTTTTAAAGAGATGTGTATCTTTACTCCTTCTGAAATTATATCTTTTTATGTAGTAGAAACTGTATTGTTTTCCTAAATGCATAGTTGGTGGTTTTGACACTGGTTTGTGGAACCATTTTTCCTATCCCCATTGATTTAAAACACCACCCTGCCATGTGCTGACTTTACTCACTTTCCTCTCAGCATGTAGGCTGTGTAACTGCCCTGGCCATTGGTCCTGCAGCAGGTCTAGTACAGTATGACTCCATCCAATAGGCAGTGGGAACCACTGTACTATAAGAGGTAGGAGACCAACATGGCGGATGGCAGTGTTGTAAGGCTATCTGGGGTGGGCGTGCCCAGGACTTTGGATTAGGATGCTCCTGAGGGAGGCCAGACAGGGAGGCCACGATGTGTTCTAGCCATGAGGCAACAGGGCAGGGTAGAGTGTCACTTTTGGAATAAAAGTGATTGGGGTCATCAGAGAATAATAAGGACATGTCCATGGGTTGGGTGGCCAGAGCCCTGTGGGGCAGAGGAAAGGGGTGTTGAGCTGGGTTTGTGGAAAAGAGCGATGCCCCTTGTGGAGAGGACCCCCAAGGAGGACCTCTGGTTCAGGCACAAGTGTGAGGTGCTGGGACATGCTCGTAGCTGCTCCTATAAGAGGCCTTGGACACAGGGACTGGACCCTAGTCTGAGCCAGGAAGTTAGGCTTGGCCCTTGCTGGTCTTTGAGGGGATAAGTGTGCTGAGCCTTGGATGGTGGGAGGAGGACTGATTCATCACAGAAGTCAGCACTCACCACAACATCAGAGGGAGGGAGGGAGGGAGGCGTCAGTGTGGCCCCACTGGATGGCAAGTCCGAAAGGGCAGGACTTGGGGCTGTGTGGAAGGAAAGGCTTGGTAGGAAGAATTGGGAGGCCATTGGGTATGGAAGGGAAGCCCAGGTGGCTGGGCAAGCCTGGGATGACCAGAGACCTGAGAGGACCTGTTGAAACCCCAGCCTCTGGGATTCAGAGCCCAAGGGAGCCACAGTGTCTTGGCATGTGCTGGCTGGGCTCAGAATAAACAGAAGTGGGGACACAGTGTCCAGAGGGGCAGGAGAGGCGTGGGCGGCCCCCCTGCTGCTGTTCAGTCCTTTGACCCCGGCCTGCTGTCTCTTGGCCCATCTGGGCTTCAGCCTTCACTCTGGTTCCCAGGCCTTTGGCCTCCTTAAACAGGAGGTCTTTGAACTCGCTGCCTCCCTTGTGTCTGGAACCTCAGCTGTTTGTGGCCGAGCAGGAAATGTGGTTGAAGGGGTGGAGCAGGCGCGGTTCCCTCCTCTGCCCCTCTGCTGACCTCATCACTTGCCTGTGCTGTGAGCTGATCTGTCCCCTCTTGGGGCACACAGCTGCGTCCCAAGGCGGATGGCTTCCCTACCATCCCGGACGTAGCCACTTTGGCCCCAAATATTCTGGCCCAAGGGGCCTGCTTGACCTGCGGGTCAGTGACCCTGAGGTTATCTAAGCTCTGAGTTATGGATACCACATGAGTTTTAGCCCATCATTGAGGGTGAGAGCTTCCCGGGGACTTTATTTATTTTCGTAGACTAGAGCAGTAGAGGTGACAGACACTTCTAAGCACCAACAGAAGACTTGGGGATGACCCCGCCATTGGAAACCACTGGGTGGAACTTTCCTAAGCATGGACTTCTGTTGTAGATCCCTGCATTCTTCTGCCTTCCTGGGGTCCCCTCTGGGGAGTGTGTAGAGGGGAGCCTGTGGCTTCTTTCAGGCACACCCAGGGGCCCCGGTGCCTCTGGAGATTCTGCTAGTAAAACGCACCTTGGGAGAAGGCCCAGGCTGTTTTATGGGATTCTCCTGATGTGATTAGGCGGTGGTGGCCTTCGCTTGAGGGGAAGCTTGGGTTCTGGGGTGTGATATTTGTACTGGCTGTTCCTTGGGAGATGGGAAGCAAAGCTTTGATCACATTTTCCTGACACTTGTGAATGCCACTAAAACAACATCCAAAATGAACAGAAGTAGCTAAATTCAAGGGATTTCCCAGAAGACGCTCTGCCTCCCAGCCCGGCCTGGAGGGTCACAGGCTTGGTCCCAGTTTATCTAATTTGGATTGAAGGGAAAGACAGTGTGAACCCTAAGAGGACAGAGGAAGAAAACAACTATTTGTTTCAAAAGTTTTTAAGGAATGAGATTACTTTGCCTTATCCCCTCTGTAGTTTGAGAGAACACAGAGGTACAGTAGACACTCATTTCTCCACTTTGATCCTGGATTAATCTAAATCAGAAAGCAGTCTGTCCATGCCTCATGTCCTGCAGAGCCTTTACAGGCCCGAGCCTATGCTCAGAGCTCTGGCTTGTAAAAGCTGCAGAAGGAGAATGCTCCACGCTGTGTATACAACTGGTGTTGAGGCCATCACTCATGACATTCTTCGGCGCCCTTTGTTTTTTGGGCACTTGATTGCAAATTCCTTTCCAAACTGGAGGCCAGGAAAAAAAGTCTCTGTCCTCTGATGAACCGATGGTTTGTCTTTCTCCTAGCTTTCTAGAAGGAGCACAGGCCCTTACACCAAACAGGGAAGTGTAAGGAGGAGGAGAGAACTTGTGCCCCACCGTGTGTGTTCCCAGTGACGGGTCCTGAGTGCAGAAAGCAGAGAGATACCTCCAGGGTTATCTTGGCAGTGCCTTTGAGGGGGTGTCAATCTTAGAACCTCCAATGAAGTGTTCACTGACAGCCTCGTCCACATCTTCCTGAGGGGTGAAAAGCAAGCCATTCAGACCAGAATCTAGGCAGGGACTTTCCTTCCACCTGCACTCGCTCCCTAGTCATTGTCCCGATTCTTCCCAGATTGATAGACTCCCTTGTTCAAAGCCTCACCCTCTTGCCCATGGGCTCTATCTTTTCCTCCCCAATTTTCTGGCTTTTGCAGATTCTTGCACTCCAAGAATCCTTTGATGACTTTATAAATGATCAGAAACTCATGTCTCTCTGGCAGGGACTAGCCTCCAGGAACTTGTCAGAAACCAGCAGCCTTCGTCAGCCTACACAGTTATCTTGTGGTTTTCCATGTTGCCTTATCCTAAGCGTGTCATGCCAAGGAACTTTATCTTTGTATGTAGCACAAGCTCTACATACATTATAGTAGGTACTTAGTAAATATTGTTGAATAAAAAAATTAATGATTTTGCGTGGTGGCGTATACCTGGAATCCCAGCAATTTGGGAGGCTGAGACCAGAGGATCACAAGTTCAAAGCCAGCCTCTGAAATTTAGCAAGACCCTGTCTCAAAAATAACCAAACAGAAACAAAAAAGTGAGGACGTGGCTCAGTGATTAAGCACCCCTGGATTCAATCCCCAGTACAGAAAAAATGATTTTGTTGGACAAATAAGTTTTATTTCTCCTGGCAGTGCAGATACTTTAGAAAATATAAATAATCAAAAGGAGATTCCCTGTTGAGCCTTCCGATGTGTGCAAGACCTTGCTGCTGCTTGTCCCAGTGCAGGCTCAGTCCTCGGGGGCTTCACTGGAACACTTGTAAAATGTCATTTCACTGGCAATTTTGCATTTTTTGTGAGGTGACTTCCTGGTCAGTGTTTAATTAACTGTTCTAGTTAATTAAACTATCAAGTCTTTTTGTTCAATACATACAATAACACACCCATCTATATATAGTTTGATGAATTTTGATAGAGATGACATGAGTGTGCCCATTTATCTTGAGAACATTTCCACCACTGTAGAAAATTCCTCATGCCCCTTTGCAGATAATACCGCCCCTCTTTCGTACTGTTCTGAATTTTATCACCATAGAGTCGTTTTTTTTTGGCTGATTCTAGAACTTTCTATGAGTTGACTCCTAACCTGTGCTCTTCTTTCCTACCAACATTTGTCAAAGGTTCTCCCACACTTGAGCTGGGCTTTGTAGATTGCAGAAGGGTTACTCAGGCAGAGGAAGCACGAGGGCCTTGCAGGAATGGAGAGTCAAAGAGCAGAGTGTCCCACGTGTACAGTCTGGGGGGTAATTGGCAGGAGGGGAGCCGATATGTTTGGAACAGTTGACAGGTTGACTTTTACCTGAGACCTGTGCTCTTGGAAAACAGTCTGTTCTCAAATTTTTAAAAACACAGAAAACATAGACTATGAGAGAGTTAAAGAAGGGATGTCCATAGTTCCAGCACTCTGGGGAAAATGTTTTATGACCTGTCCACCTGGTCTTTGTGAATTTGTGCACATGTTCATTCGTGTTTTTTTTTCCCTTTATAAAACATGATTGACAGCATATATATTGCTTTATGTATTCTTTTTAACAGCACTTTGTAAATATCTCAGTGCCATTAGGTCTTCTGTGGTGTGGTTAATACTGCACTGGGTTCTGTTGCATGCATGTGTTATAGTTTAGAAGCCCTATTGTTTGACACGCAGGTTATTTCTAACTTGGCATAGTTAACAATGCATCTTCTTGTGGGCAAAATCATACAGATATCCCTGTTGACTTCCCAAGGTAACTGAACTGTTTTGGAGCATTTAGGATTATCATCAGTATTGGTTATCAGATGGTTTTGTAGCACAGGCTTGTGGCTGCAGGACCATTTTCCCATCACTTAAATGCCGAGAGCTGTGTCTTCTGTATTCTGGGGTCTATTTTTAGTTAGGGCTACTGTCTCTTACTGCCTGTGGTCTGTTCTCTTTCTAGTTTATGAACTTCCCTTAGTTGGCTTTTTGGTCTCTTGTTTTTGTCCTTCCGAATTTGCAGTGGGCCATTGTGTCCAGAAAACCCACCTTTGAACCCTTCCTGAGAAGAGGAGCTGAGATGAGCTCTGGAGGGGATTTTCCCGGGGCATTAGTGCATAGTTTTTGTAAAGCTCTGCTGTGCGCTGGGCAGCCGGAGCCATTGAATAGTGGGCCTGGGTCCAGGCTAGGTGAGGCATTGCTGTCTTTGCCTGAGTGCTCTCCCAGGAATTCTGCAGGACGCCACCCTTGTTTGCCATTTCCATGTTTAATCCTGGTATAAGATTGAGGAAATATGTATAGCTCCATCTGTGGTAGGTGTGTCACTCATTCTGTCCCCTTGCTCAGTTAATTTCACCTCTTCGTTCCTGACCATACCAACTGGACAATAGATTCTATAATGCCAGGAAATCTGGTGACTTTTTTTTTTTTTAAATGGATATGCTGGGGGGAAAAAAAAAACCCGTGGTGAGGTATTTTTAATTTCATTCCGAGTTCTCCTTTGTGTGACTGTGGTCTTACTACATCTCTTTATCCCTTTCTTGGCTTCCCATTTACATTTGGATTTTTCTGGTAGGAGCTGGTGGTGATGGGCGCCCCCGGATCATTTTATTGGGCTGGGACGATCAAAGTGCTGAACCTCACAGACAACACCTATTTGAAGCTGAATGATGAAGCGATCATGAACAGGCGGTACACGTACCTGGGTGAGTAGCTGGGGGAGAGGCGAGATAAGGAGGGGCAAATGGGAGCTATTACCGGTTATTGCTCTGTTGGTGGAAGGGAGAGTTGGTTGGCTTTTACTTTTCAATCTCTCGTTCTTTAATTGGAACACCTAGCAACTCGTATAGAAGACAGAAGAGGGAGCTGAATTAAAACTGATTTAATTAAAAAGCTTTCTCTGGAGGCTCACGTGTCTTATCTCCTTGTTTTAGCAATCACTCAAGTTCAGATGATCAGATGCAAAAATGAGCTCAATAGAATCCTAGTATTATTCTTTGGACATCCCTTGGGGATGGAGTCTCTGCTTCCTAGTCACAAATAGAAATAATTACCAGAAATTATCATGACAGGTAGCACCCCAGGTTGAAGTTTAATTGAAGGCTCAGAAATTTTCTTACTTTTCTGAACCCTCTTAGTCTTCTAGAACAGAAGATAGGTACAATTTAATTTAGCAGCCATCAGGCAAAGAAGATGCTGGGGCAAAACAGTGCCCATTTAAAGACAGAGATAAACTATGTTTGCTTAGAGGATGGTCACAGGACTCAACCCAGACCCTGAGTGCTGCCATTCCGGACTGGAATTAGAACTATATTTAGGAAGGTCTCATAACAAAACAATCTTCTTTCACATTCAGTACATATAACTCTAATCAGGGGAGGCCCTGCCACCCTTTGGGCAAAGTCACTGAAATCTCTTTGTTAGGTGGGGACAGGGAGTTGGTGAATCACCTTTTCCCTCTGACCATTAGTGTGCCCCCAGGCAGCACAGCCCCAACAGTACTTTAATAAGTCTTTGGGGCATTTGCTACCGTGCTCCCATAGCTCCTTGGTCTGTCATTTATTAAGCATTTAATCTATGCCGGGCTTTGTATATTATTTTAATTCTGAAATTGAGGTTGCCATTATTATCCGTACTTTGTAGGTGAAGCAGCTGACCATTACATTATGTAACTTTCCAAGGTCATAAGCCCCAGAGTTGGGTATAAATCTGTTTCTGAGACAGGGTCTAAACGCTGAGCTGCCTCTCTGTGTATTACCAGAACAGCATCTGCCACTGGTACCAAACCCCTCACTGGGCTGTACGCACGTCCAAGGTGGGAGTTTTTCTCTCATTCCCAGGAGTTGGTATATACAATACCTGGTGTACGGCAGGAGCTGAACACATGCTTGCTGACTCGGAATGAAGAGGGCAGAAGAGAGCCCACTTTGGATGGAGGTTTTCAGGCCTCAGACAGGTGTTATGAACCTTGGGGTCTGTGGTTTCTCCCTGTGTACAAAACGGAGCCCTTTATCTGCTACAAGGGTTAACAGGAGACAGTTGAGAGTATGTCACTCAGGATACTCTCAGGCAATGTAAATCATCAGTTTGAGAGAAATCAGCCACATGGAGATCCTGGATGATATGAATCATCACAAAACTCAAATAACTTATGATCACAGCATTAGAGTTCAGGGATGATGGCGAGACCAGGGAACATAATGCAGGCAGCCTGTCTAGCATTTCTGCCTGCCAGAGGAGTGCCTTCAGCTTGTAAAGCAAGGCCCTCAGAAGGCAGGAGACATTTGGATTGTGAATTTGGATATGTTTTATCTATCTGAAAATCTGTAAACAGAAGAAATGATCACGCATTCTTCATAGAGTTTTTATATTGAAATAAATGTCACCCAAAGATATATAAAAATGGCTCACAACAGCTTTACTTGCCCCAAGTTGGAAATAATTCACATGCTCAGCAGGAGGAGAAAGAGATGGTATGTTCATCCAGTAGGACAGGACTCAAAAATGGAAAGAACAATGCACTACTACAGGCAACAGCATGGATGAGTATCAAGTATCATAAATAATAAAAATCAGAATAATGGCCACCTATGGGGCTGGGGAACCTTCCAGGGTTGTGGTTCTTGGTTTATGTTCACTTGATCCGGGTGGCGGTAGCATGGTCATGTAAGTGTGTACAAACTCCTTAAGGTCTACACTTCAGATGCATGTTCTTTATGAAAATTACATCTCAAAAAGAAAAAACGGACTGTTTAGCACAGTACCAGTCCTGGAGAGGGTACTCGGCACTCTTTCCTGCCCCAGGGTCCTTGTGAATGTGGCTTTTTGTGATATGTGCCATTTAAACATGAGGAGACCGACAGCTGCCAATTTGTTCCCTGGTTCCATTTGTGTTCTAAGAATAACTGGACCATAGCTGCCCAGATAATGAAACTTGCTTGAAAAAAATTTTTTTTTTCTTTTGAATCCAATGAATATTTTCTCTCGCTGCCTTCTTCAACCTTGTCCTTGGTTTCCATCATCCTGTTTAGGCTATGCAGTGACCGCTGGCCGCTTCTCTCACCCCTCTACCACCGATGTGGTAGGAGGTGCCCCACAGGATGAAGGCATTGGAAAGGTGAGGAGAAACACCTGGGATCAGAGGAGGGGAGTATGCTGCCTTGTCGTAGGGGTTTGCCAACTGACTTTGACCTGAATATTCTCTTGGTTGACTGGTGAGAGACAAAATCATGAGGAACCCTTTGACAGTCTCATTCCAACAACTTTGGAGAGATGACCTTGAAAGCATCATCAGAGTGTGAATACTGTTCACACCGTCTATTCTCTCATGATGTGTTTTTCTTTTATTAAGTGTGTGTGTGTGTGTGTGTGTGTGTGTGTGTGTGTGAGAGAGAGAGAGAGAGAGAATATGATTTGTAAGTCTCCCTTGGCATCAGGGTGCCCTTCAAAGGAGAAGTATTCAGTGCTGTACAACTTTAAATCCCCCACCTTCCTGACTTTACCAGATTTGGCTTTGACTAAATAGAATCAGGATAGTCCCAGCTACCTTTAGGCCTTTTTAAAAAATGTTTAGATTCCCATTTATTTCCCCAGTGTTTCAGAAGGAACATTGGGTTCCCAAGACTGGTGGAACCCAAGGCTGTTATAGCAATATGTGGGTCTGACTTTCTCTAAAGTCTGTCCACAGTGTAGAACAGACCTGTGGGTCTTGGTCTGTCTGACTCACTTTGGGAATCATGGCCTCCAAGGGGACTATGTTCATTGTTTAGCTTCAGGGTATAGGAATCATAGAATGGGGATGTCCACATGGGCAAGGAATCTGCATTTTTGTCTGATGGGGAAGACTGAGCAGTGGCATGAACTTTGGATCCACAGCCCCAAGGCTGGACCTGTGGTAGTGTCTGGCTGCTGCATCTGTGGCTTGGAGAAATGGGCTCTGAGTTCTAGAGAGGCCAAATGGGCTGAGACCACTGTTACTAGGACCCTGCAGCTAGGCTGGTAGGCAGATCAGAGAGACCGTGCAGTTGATGGGCATGACAGGTGTGTTCATGAGGGCCATTTCTGTGGACCCTCCTGGGCAGGGCTTAGGAGCCACTGCTCATATTTCTGCAGAGTATGCCTCCTTCCCCCTAGGCCGATACTGTGGAGAGAGGTCGAATCAGATAAACCAGGGCCCTGATCCAGTGGATAAGGAATCATGCACATGAACTTTGATAACTTCAAGTCTGAGTCACATGAATTCCTCTTCACGGTGGAGGGAAGAGCACTTAGAGCTGTCTCCGCCTCAATGGCGTCTTCCAGGGAGGAACTGTCTGTCACTAGGCTTCTCTGCCAGGAGGTAAAATTGCTTACCTCCTGGTTCACAGATACCTTTGTGCTGATGACAGCGACTTTCTTTTCTCAGTAATTGCAGAAAACTTGCTTTGGTTGTATTGTTTCTCCTTCAGATGACAGGGATGTTGCTTGGTCCCTGTCAGGTCTGAAGGCAAGGATGGTTATTTACAACTGAAAGCGCCAGAAAGGAGTCCTGGATCTACTTAACAAAAAAAAAAAAAAAAAAATAGAAAATGCTTCTTTCAATTGCTTGACCTGAGAGTCACTGGGGAAATTGGTTGTAGTGAACAGAGTTGCTCATTATCTCACATGCCCAGGGACCAGGGCTCATGCAGAATTGCTCTCCAAGGACCCCAAAATAGACCTCTGGCCTTCAGGATTTTGATATCCATTTCCCATGTTGGGGTGCAAAAGCCTTCACACTAATATGGCAGTTCCTTACCCAGGGGAGAGACCCTACCCTGTGTCTCATGAGATAATCTTTCCATAAGATGTAACTTGAAAAAGAAGTTCATATTTGGGTACACTTAGAAAGTTAAATGTCAGTGAGATTCATTGTTATTTAAATCCCCATGCTAAAGGCTCTAAGACATTACACAATGCAGGAACTTAATATTTAATGCTTAACTCTGCATTTTCTAGCCTAAACTCATATTTACCCACATAGACTTTATGGCACTTATATTATGTGGAATCACTTTGGAGAATAACTTTGGCTAAAATGCTCTTTCATCCCTTTGTCTTATACCTGTTAAAGGTGTATCTAAGGGGATTGAAGGACCATTTTCAGGCAGAAAAGACTTTTTTCCTGAGTGTTGAGTTGTTTACTAGTAATTTGGGTATTCCTTGGTCCTATCAGACGTGGCTGCTCCAGATCAGTGCCGGTGACACTTTTGTCTCAGGTAAACACTTTTTGGACAGAATTGGTTAGACAAGAGCTTGTGGTGGTGTCTTCATTGTCATCAGCTGATTTAAACACAGCTATGGTGTGACTGCCTCCCAGGAAGATGCTGGTCAATATCGTTGGTCATTGCTTCATCCTAACTCCATTTTTTTTTTTTATTCCTTAGGTTTATATTTTTAGAGTGGACCGAAGATCAGGCACCTTGATTAAGATTTTTCAGGCATCAGGTAAAAAGGTGAGGTTCTTGGTGTAAGTGACTATTTTGTTTGTTTGAGAGATTAGATCATGTGGGAACAGGTTCCTTTTAGATAATCCGCTAACGGCCCTGCCTGAGCCCTATGCTTACATGACAGCTCTGCTTGTGTGTTGGTGCCTTTACTTTCTCAGTCCTGTGTGTGACCTGTAGGCTTTAGGGGATTCATGCTCATTTTAGGAACTGTCATGCAGCAAGATGAGTTTATACACACACAGCGTTTTAAAAGGTTGCTGCAGTCTAGACACTTGTCCAAGTGCTGCCTGCTCCATCTCTGCCTTTCTCCACCTCTCACCTTAGCCCTCCTCCATCTGCCTCTCATCTACGCCTCCAGAGAGGTCAGGTACAACTGAGTCATTGCTTGCATCCTAACTAGATTATTTTCTCACTTTTTAGGTTTAGGTAGCAAACCCATTAGACACCAGTGATCCTGTTTAAAGGGTGCAGGAGGACAAATTCTGCTCAGTGTCTCTCACACCAGCCTGAGGCTGCCCCCTCTTCCTGCACCCTCTGCCCTCCTCTGTCTGCACCCTCTGCCCTCCTCTGTCAATGCGGGGAGAACCGTCGTCATACAAAGAAAACCCAGACATCATCCAGTTCTTCTTGGAACCTTGATATAGAAGTAGCTCAGGAAGCTGCCTGACCAGAGTCCTGGAGAAGGCTCATCTGCATATGTTGCTCCCATCCTGTCTCTGGTCCTCTGTTTCCTACAGGATTCCCTTGTACTGCAGCATAGTAAATGAAGCTGGTTGGAAAGGCTTCTGACTCATAAGCTCTGCTCCTCTGCAGGCTTCTCAGCTCTGCACAGCTGTGCATGGCTTAAGGCGAGTAGGATGGTTTGGCTGAGACTGGCTTCTCTAGGGGGTGCAGTTAAGGCTGGGGGGGGGGGTGTGTGGTGTAATTTGGAGGCCTCACTGGGCTTTTGGGAAGACGCACAGCAGGCCTGGGATGTAGGGAGGGAGACTCTAGGAGACGGGAGAATGCCAAAAGGTGATTTTACTTAACATTATCCTGAAATGAGGGGGAAAATGATCATTTCCTTCTTGAGCCACATGCCTCTGGCCCCAGTTCTGTTCCCTGTTGTTAAGTGAAACTTGCTGAATGACAGCCTGGGATCATTTCATGCTATTCTGGTGTAAACCATATTCTGAGATCTAAAAATCTCACAAGTAGGCCTTTTTATTTTTCTTTCCGTTTAAAATTAATTATTCTAATTTGTTATACATAACAGCAGAATGTATTTTGATTCATAGTACACAAATGGAGCACGATTTTTCATTTTTCTGGCTGTACAAAAAGTAGAGTTGCACCATTCCTGTCTTGAGACATGTACCTAGGGTAATGATGTCCATCTCGTTCCACCAGTAGGCCTTTTTCCTTTTTTTTTTTTTTTTTTTTTTTTGAGATGGGGGTCTCACTACCTTCCCCAGGCTGACCTCCAACTCCTGGGCTCAGGTGATCTTCCTGCCTCAGCCTTCTGAGTGGTTGAGACTGAAATTGCACACCACTGCAATTCTAACAACCTTAATAAGCACACTTAGTATATAGTTGTCATAACCTTTAAAATAAAAAAAAATGCAGTATCTAACTTGGTTTTGCATTTTTTCCTCAGAATGATTCTTTATTCCCCTGAGATCCACACTGACTTGTGGTGTTTTAACATTTCCAAAACCCCAGAGGCAACAGCATTGAAAAGGGACTAGTGTGCTATTCTGCAGAAAAGACTTTCCAACCACCCCTAAAGTTAGAAAAGAAATAGCTCCATACCACTGTGGATCAAAACAGCCCCAACAAGCATGGTGGGTGTGAATACTACTAAGCCTAACATTTTTAGATCTTTCTCCAAAAAAACCTCCCCATGAATGGGTGTGTGTGTGTGTGTGTGTCTACTGTACAAACTGTCCCCTCCCCTTAAAGGTACTGGGTTTGAAAGCATAAAATTATTTCTGAGAATCTTTCTGTTCGGTTGTGGCTGTGCCTCCTGGTATCTTCCTCTTCCATTCTCTGCCCAGCACAGGGGCTCCATTCGTGCCTGGGGTCCTGGTGTATGTCATGGCCTAATTAGCAATTGCTTGTATCCCCTCTCCTTGAAAACCTCCCAGTTTGGATGATAACTTCAATGGCCACCCACCTGTTCCCAGATGTTGGTCAGGTTATGAGGGGTAGAGGTAAGAAGGCTCAGGGAAATCTTTCAGAACTTTTCCTTGTCCAAACTTAGAACTTAATGCCATCTGGTTCCAAAAGAGACATGCCTGATTGTGACAAGATAAATTATAGATTCCCTGATTGTGACAAGATACGTTAGGTTCCCCACTTCAGGGACAGAAGCGTCCAGATGTTTACCCTCCAGGCCCCCAGCTGCATAGCCATCTGCCTCATCTTTCCAGAACCTTTGCCCCACTCTGTATTTTCTCCTTATCCGGCCTCACCCTCCTGGCTCTGTGGCTTTCCCTTTCTTCTGCCAATTTCTCCAGCTTGCTTTACACGCCTCATCAGCCTTCTGATTTTGAAATAGGCCCTTACCTCTCTTTCTGCATCTTATTCTGCTTTTTTTTGCCTGAAGAAATGTGATATTCCTGTTTCTCTGACTTCTCCATTATCTCCTAGGGAGAGGACATGATCCCCAGGCTTTCCAAGGGTGCTTTGGCTTTACTCCTGTGCCACACCCAGAGAGGAGAGTTCCCCCTCAGTCCCCAGTCACTCCAGTTTTTATTTGCCTAGAATTTGGTCAGGTTGTTTTGTATCCCGTTAGGAAGAAAAAAAAAAATGAAAAACAGATTCTGGTCTCTATGGATTAATATCCCACAAATAGTGCACATAAGAAATGATAAATATGTGTGCAATTTAGATGTTAACACAAATGCACGCCCCTGTACTTGCAGATTGATGGAGAGGTGGAGTCAAGGATTGCTCACCCCAAAGCCTGTCATAGCTGTGTTGATGTCCTATTGAATTAACTGGAGATGTGTTTGCATTTCAAAACTGAGATAGGAAACTTCACCTACAGGGATTTCTGATCTAACATCCATGAAGATGCCAAGTTAAATAGCCCACTGGAATGAAGCAAGCAGTTCCCCTGGGGCTCAGCCAGAGAGAGCAGCCCTTGGCTCTGATCTTCCTGGCCTTGCCTGTGCCTTACCAGTTTCTTCTACTAAAGCTCAGCTGGGGAGATTGGAGAGGCTGTTGGATTAGTGACTGGTAACTTGGTTTCTATCCTCCCCATCCTCCTCAAATCTTTCCAATGTCCTCCTCCCTGGAGAGTGGGGCGATTGGCTTTGTCCCAGGAATGGGAAAGGTTTGAGTGGCTTCCTCAAAGCCCTCCAGGGCCAGCGTTAGCTGCAGGAAGTAGACTGGAGTGCTCCCACCTCTCTGCACCTCCCCTGAGTGGATTGACGACAACTCCGACAGCCAGAGAAAGTGCTCCTCAGCTCAGCAGAGCCAGAGCCCTGTCCTTTATTTTAAAAGGACATACTTTTTTAAAAAAAAGTTATAAGTTAGCTGTCTCTAGAAGGGTTACAGCCTGCACACGTTTTTATTTGGCCTGTACAGTATTCATTTATCATTTTTAATACAAATAAATTGTCAGCATTTATAAAACAGGTCCTTCAAATAAAGTTTTGAATTTTGGGAAAATGGGATGCAGTCCTGTGGGCCCCAGCCTGCCGCAGTCTCCTCTACTTCCTGTTGTTCTCAGACACTGAGGACAATTGTCCCTTGCCACCTGTAAGCACACTGTTCTATCACCTGCCTGGATCCCAGTGGTGTTTGGGTTTGAGACTCTGGATTTAAAACCACAGGTACTGGATGAATTATGCCTGAGGGAAGCTGGTGCTGTGCCCTCATCCAACAGGCTTTGAGTTGTACCTTTTTCTGTCTCTTCAGATCATTCCTTCCTGACCAGTCTCTAGTATGCACAGCAATGGGGTGGAATGGGGGGAGGATAACCCATTTTCCCCTGTAACAATCATTTTTTTAGGTGGGGGGTGGGTACTAGGGATTGAATTCAGGGGTACTCAACCACTGAGCCACATCCCCAGCCCTATTTTGTATTTTTATTTAGAGACAGGGTCTCACTGAGTTGCTTCGCATCTTGCTTTTGCTGAGGCTGGCTTTGAACTCGCAATCCTTCTGCCTCAGCCTCCTGAGCCGCTGGAATTAGTAGGCATGCACGCACCACCAGGCCCGGCCTATAACAATCATTTCACGTCCATCTCATGTTGTGAAATTCCATACTCCTGCTAGCTTGCCTTGTCAAATGTCTGATAGTGGGCACTTTTTCCTGGTTGTAACCTGTATTTGCAACCTCAGCTTGATTTAAAGAAATAGTGCTACATCCTCCAGGGACTGGCCTCTTAGCCTTCCCTGAATGGGGCGACAGGACAGGGGCCTGCTGAGCCTGTGAGCTTTGGTGTCCTGAGGCTCAGAAGGCCCCGGGGAGCCAGCCTTCCCCGTTGGCCTAGGCATCCTGCCTCATGGGCAGCACAGCCAGCACTGCCTCTGAGGGGCTGGGAGCAGACGTTTCAAAGCCAACAGGCCAGAGGAGAGCGAGGGCCTCGTGTGTGAGGGCGGACACTGAATGCTCTGTTGCGATCGACTTGGTTACAGATGGGCTCTTACTTCGGCTCCTCCTTATGCGCAGTTGACCTGAACGGGGACGGCCTCTCTGACCTGCTGGTGGGGGCCCCCATGTTTTCTGAGATCAGAGACGAGGGGCAGGTCACCGTCTACATCAACAAAGGAAACGTGAGTATGGTGCTGGGCAAGGTGGGGGGTGGGGAAGTGGCTGAGCACCCTCTGGGCATGCACTGGGCCATTTCCCAGGAGGTGTAAAGACTTAATTCCTGCCTTGAAGAAGCTTAATGGTCCATTAATGGAGAATCTTGTACAGTGTTATAACTGCAAACATGTGGGGGCCAGGAAGACTATGAAGTGCTGACTCTCTACTAGGGACTATTTTTCCTTATTTCCCATGAGTGATTTCAATGCAACATACACATGATGTCCAGGGTTCTCATTTTTTCAGATGAAACGTTGAGGCCCAGAGAGGTTAAATCACATGCCCCAAATCTCACACCTAAGTCGTGGTGAGGCTAGGATTCAAACCTTGGTCAGCTGGCTTCAGAGCTGCCATGTTTTCTCTCTAGGTTATGCTGCCTTTCTGAGAGTGTATATAGACATGTGCTCTGGGGAAAGCAGTGGCCCTGATAGCTGGGAGGAATCTAGAGGAAAGAGGCAGACAGGCTGGGCTCGGGCAGAACTCCCAGCAGAGGACTGGGCAAGTGGGTTGAGGTGTGAGGCGGAAGGGCCCCTAATTCATGGTGGAGGCTGATGACGTGGCCTCTGGCTGTAATCATGATGTCCCATATTGTGCAAAACCGTGAAAGGGATGGGACAGATTCAGAAAATGCTTCTGTCCCTCTGTAGCCAAGGGAAGGTGGGTGGGTGGAGGGCCCATGAGAGAGCGGCATCTCGGGATCTAGAATTAGCGTTCAACGAGAAGGAAAGGGTTCAATAAACGCATTGTTGTCCCACGCCTTAGGTAGCATGACAAAATACTTAGTGTTTTAAAAAGCCAGGATGAAGGCTGGGGCTCAGTGACAGAGTGCTTTCCTAGCACGTTTAAGGTACTGGGTTCGATCCTTAGGACCATATAAAAATTAGAGGGGGAAAAAAAAAGGCATTTGGTTCATCTACAACTACAAAAATATTTTTTTAAATAGTGAAAATTATTATATGTACAAATAACCTTAACATATGTGGTACACAGAGAATGTTCATAACAAATCTCTGGGTGGTGATGCTTGGGTAGATTTTGTTTTTTATCCAAATGGCGACATTGCAATCTTTCAAAATAGAAAATCTGCTGGGCATGATGGCACACACCTGTAATCCCAGAGTCTCGGGAGGCTGAGGTAAGAGAATAACGAGTTCAAAGCCTCAGCAATTGGTGAGGCCCTGTCTCTAAATAAAATACAAAAAGGGGCTTGGTGGTTAAGTGTCCCTGAGTGCAATCCATGGTACATGCCTCCTGCAAAAAAACAAAAACAAAAAACAATAAAAAAAAAGAGTGTACTATAAAGCAGTGGCCAAGATGGTAGTGCTGGGAGAGGGTGGTGTTTAACTTTCATCAGGTGAGCAGATGCCAGGTGGAAGGGCCAGCAGGGGGAGGAGAGCCAGGGGATGTTAAGCCTTGCGCTGCCTGTGATATTTGCAGACTTCTGGGGAAAGTGGATCTAAAACCTGGGTGGGAAGATGCTCTCAGCACTGCAGCCCCACTGACATTCTGGGAGGGAGAGCAGAGAGGATTGACGTGATTCTGTAGGTGAGAGCAGTGGGCACTTTGTGGCTGCTAATGTATTTGCAGGAGGCAATCATTTGCATGGATTTTAAGCCCAACAGCTTGACTGTGTGTCCAGAGGAGCAGGTGCATTTTTTTGTTTTGTTTTGTTACCACGGATAGGACCCAGGGGTCTAAACCACGGAGCCACATCCCCAGCCCTTTCTTATATTTTATTTAGAGACAAGGTCTTGCTAAGTTGCTGAGGCTGATTTTTGAACTCCAGGTCCTCCTGTCTCGGCCTCCTGGGCCACTGGAATTACAGGTGTGTGCCACCATGCCTGGCAAGGAGGTGGGATCTTGGAGCATGATAATCCCCCCTAGACTTCCTCTGGGCATGTCACAACCACGTCTGTCCTTGCCCCCCAACTTTCCTCACCCAATATGCCTGAATGTTGTAGGTTACCCTATTACTTCTGTTCAACCTTATGCCATTTGATTCGTGACTATAAAGCAGTATGGAAAAGTGAAAAAAATGATAGGCCTGAGTTTGAATCTTGGTTTTTGTCAGTTCCTAGCTGGTGACATGAACAGGTGGCTTATAATTGGCACCTCAATTTTCTTCATCTGTGAAAGGGGAAAGGACCTCAGGTCTGAATGAGGAGATGGACAGACAATGCTTGGTACATAGAAGGAATCGCCTGCTGGTGTCTTTCCTCTTCCCCATCACATGACTAGGAAGAAGTCACATGCAGTTGGTCCTCTATATCTGTGGGTTTTGCATTCTTAAACTGTAGATTGAAAGTATATGCACAAAAAATTGTATTGACCATGTACAGACTTTCTTCTTGTCATTATTCCCTGAATGATACAGTGCAGCAACTATTTGCATAGCATTAACATTGCATTAGATCTTATAAGTACTCTAGAAATAATTTAAAGTACACAGGAGAGTGTGCACAGGTCATATGCAAATACCATGCCAGTTTGTATAAAGAACTTGAACATCTGCAAATTTTAGAATTAAAGGGGTCCTGGCACCAATACCCCACAGATACTGAGTGACAACTCTTTTGTGTTTTGGGGTGGGGGTTTCACTGACTCAAGAAATCATCACATCTTTATTTCCAGATTGCAGGGTGTGTTTACAGGGAAGGAGATTTTTGTCAAGACAAAAGCCAGACACTCGTGGGATGGTTTGTGGGTATATGGTGTGTCCCAAAATGCCTCTACAATAGGGAAGGTTTAAATATTCTTATGCCTTTAAACCTAATATCGCGTTTTAACCTTCTGGTATTCACATTTCAATGATTTGGGGTGGGGAGAGGGTATTTTTAGATGGCTTTTATTGCCACCATACACCCCTGACCACTTTCTCTCTGTTAATGGTTGCTCAGAATTTCATTCCTGAGCCATGAGAGACAGCATGGTTAGTTAGGTATCTTACCACCTCAGCCCCCTGACCAGGAACTACTAGGTTCCTGGATTTTCTGAACTATGACCCCCTCCATTGAGATTGCTAATAACGTGCGTCTTACAAAACAGCGATATGAACTGGTACCAAAAGGCACAGGAGAAAACAAACAGAAGAATGTTTACCCCTTGAAAACAACTTTGAGGAAATTGTTATGTCCTAGGAAAGGCTGAGGGGTTACTGTGGGGACAGGCAGGCAGGTGGCTTGCTGGTTGGTCTGTGGAGCGATAGGATGGGAAGGTGTAGTCATTGTCAACGTGATAGTCCCCTGGCCTCTAGAATGTATCTTGGGCTCTGGGAGACCCTCCTGCTGCACAGGTGAAGGACTCATTTTGCCCCCAGAAGAGAGGAGTTTGTGTTCCTGTGATTCTGCCCAGGTGTTTCCTGCTGATGGGTGTTCTGTTAGGAGGGTCGCCCTCTGAGCCCTGTGTTTTTATTGTTTTCTTTTTTTCATCCCACTTTTTCCTCCATCCTGTTTCCCAGGGAGCCCTGGAGGAGCAGCTGACCCTGAATGGGGATGGTGCTTACAATGCACACTTTGGGGAGAGCATTGCCAGCCTGGACGATCTTGATGATGACGGGTTCCCAGGTGAGTGAGGTCACACTGGGCCGTAGAGCCCCTCCAGGTATAGCCAACTTTCCTCTGTCAGAGTGGCAGCCTGCCCTCCACTGTCCATCTGTAGCGAGACTCTCCAGGACCTCCTGGCTGTCCCTGCAGGCCCATGGAAGTTCTGAGGGAAGAAAGCACAACTCCTAGAGGTGTTCTCCACGTAGACACTCAGAGCCAAGTGCTGAGCCCACTGCGGGTTTGCTTCTGGATAATCCTTTCTCCAGCTAAGGGCTCTGCTATGTGTTTGCAGGGGAAGCGAACCTTGGGATGGGTCCACTGGGGGCTTCTCATAGTAGATAAGTGTGTCTTAGCTTCCTCTGCTGCAAACTCTTGTTGTTTTTGAGTCTCAGATGCTTCAGGCTGCTCTGCCATGAAGCATCTGAGACTCAAGTAAGCAAGGAAATTTCCCCTGATAATGGTGGTGAGTGTGCGAGTGTGTGTATGTTGCAGGGATGGAGATATGCAGACCTGATGTTCTGCTTGGACAGCAATATCCTCCACAGCCTCTGGTCTGTTTTAATACCTCTTTTCTGCACCGTGGACACAGTATGTCCCAGGGCTGGGGTACAGCTCTTATGTGGGCCAGATGACCTTTGATGCCTCATGCCACTGACTACTGAGGGTTTCATTCAGAGAGACCCAGCAACTCTCACTCAAGGTCTTGGGGCTGCATGTCCCTCACCCTTGACCTCACTTCTGTAGACACATGACTTCTGTTAAGAAGCCATGAGAAAAAGGTAAGTAAGAAAGATTGGGATTTGTTCCAGGAGTTATCAGTTTGTGAGAGTAATGTTGAGAGAGAGAGTGTGTGTGTGTGTGTGTGTGTGTGTTGAATGCCATTCCACATATTTATCTAGGAATTGAGTTGCCTTTTCCCATTGGCAGTGGAATTCCCCTTGGACAGAGATTAGGATAGGAAGTTTACGTTTAAACTTTTTTTTTTTTTTTTTGAGTACTTCAGCCCTTTTTCTTATGAGGATGAGGTAGAAACTGACCTAAGACTAGGTGCCTAATTGAATGCTTGAATAATCAACAGCCAAAAATTCCTGGCTGAGGTCTCAGATGTGATAAGGAGAATTAGGGAAGCCACACTGAATGTTATTCCATGTGGCTTTTCTAACCCGTGTCTTTTTTTTTTTTTTTTAATCCCCCCAGATGTGGCAGTTGGCGCACCCAAAGAAGATGACTTCGCAGGGGCCGTCTATATCTATCATGGGGATGCTGGTGGGATAGTCCCCCAGTACTCAAAGGTAATTGGTGTGAGAGTGATATGGTAACTGTTGATACGTTCATTCCACAAACGTGTATGAAACCCTCATTATGCCCCAGGTCCTGGGGGTACAAATGAAAACACATCTGTCTTGGCTTCAGACTGCCCACCCTCTAGTGGAAGAGAAAAATATTTGATATTGCTATATTAAGTGCAGAAAAGTATTCATAGATCCCGAGTTTGCTCACATTCAGGGATACATTCTGCCTATAAAAAGTCATATCCAAATTCTTATCCAGAGTTAGACCTACTTAAGAGAGAGAAACTTAGTTTTTTGGCGACTCTTTTGTCAACTATCTCTGTGCTGCCAAGCCTTAGGGATATGTTTTAAAATACAATCTAGAGAGAGTGAGTGATTCAGAGGAGGTCCTGGAAGTTTTTATGGGCTGTTGTCACAATTGGCATGAGAACTAGGAGCTAGTCAGAGCTCTGGCCTCACACCCTAGACGCGGGAACGTGGAAGTGGCGAGTTCTGTTTTTCGCCGTATCAGCTTGGTGTTTAATCTTGCTGATGGCATCAAGCCCAGCCTATGGGAAAAAAGGAAGTCACGCTCTTGACAGCACGGTCAGGATATTTGTGGATGTGTGTAGAGGGGCATTGGTTTGTGTCTTTGTCCCAGTGGAGCAGTGACAGAGATAGAGCACACATTGAGAAACTTCCTATCTGTGAATACTTATTACTGAATATTTACATGCTATGTACTTTCTTTTCATGTTTATATGTGTAGATTAAGAGGCAGTATGTAAATATAAGTACAGTTGATACATTCGTAATTGTTCTAAAACAGGTATAAGTTTGGGGTGGTGGGTTTGTGGCCAGCTGAACCCTGTGTTCCCTCTCTGCTGGCCTCCTGCTTAGTTAGGTGACCTGCCTGTGACAGACAGGTGCTTAGGAAGGTGCTGGGACAGGAGGGACTATTTCCTGGGGGACGTCTCTGCCCTTTCCATACTATGATTCCTCCCAGCAACTATGCGAAGTAGGTGTCTTGATTATCCTTTGTTCTTTCATGAGGCAAATGTGACTCGGGGAAGGTGTTTTGCATGCCCAAGGTTGTAGGCGACAATGTGACCATTCACAGTTCACCATTTCTGACTCCCAAATGTTGATCATGACCACCATTCTCCACACTGGGAAAAGTCCCCTTCAAGGCAGCTTAGGAGGATGGCTTAGGAATATGGAAACTTATTTTGCCACGAGGCACGCTTATGCCAAGGAGCATCTAGCCACACAGATCATGCTCTTTTCATTAGAAATAAGTAATAATGGGAGCAAAAGACTCTCAGGTGATCTGGCTGACATGCTACAGGGAGAGGCTTTGGGAGCTGTGTGGAGGTCACATCTGTGCCCCAAGAGCTGCACTGATGTGGGTCAGGGATGCTGTTCCCAGTGTGACAAGGTGAAAGTCATCTAAGGAACCCTGTCCTCAGCGGAGGGTCAGGGTCATTCCCCAGGCATCCTCCTGGACCTGGGAGCCTAATCACACAGGGAGGCGACCTGTGGAGACCCCTGTTTCCCCTCCGCCCAGCATCCTGCAGTGTTTTGTTTGGTTGCTGGGTGGAATCCCTGCAGAAAGCTGCAGCATACATTTTGTGGTTAGCATGGAGCGTCTGTAGTAGGAAGCAGGGATCAGCAGCTGGACTGCCGGCCTTTGTCAGCACATGCTGGCTCCTTAGCCTTGACAGAGAAGTGGTTTGGAGCTTTTTTTTTTTTTTTAAAAAAAGACACATACATCCCTCTGATTATACTTTCCTAATTTGCTAAAATGTATATGATAAGGTCAGTGATTTAAAAGGGTTAAAAAAATTCCTTAATGACGGATTCTTCCAGGCCCAGGTCCTGGACAGAGCCGGCATTGTGTGAAGGAACTAGAGGGAGAAATCAGAAACGAATCCGGGCAACAGGATCGCTTTTCTTTGGCCCAGATTGGTATTATTTCTGCTGGCTAAATTGTGAGATCAGGGCCTCCTCAACTTCTTCCACATTACTCTTTAGCGCATTCCTCTTTCTTGAGTTTATCCTGAAAAGTGTTGATTTTAAGATCCTTGTGTGCCTTTCTCGATTTGAGAGCCCTCGGGGCATGTCATGGCGGCTCCTCTGATCTTTTCTCTTGCCATAACGGACACTGCATATAAACCTGGTCAAGTGGAGGTTTTCCAAGGTTCCTGGTTTCCATTTAGGGTTATTAGCCCTGAGCAGACTTATCTTCCTGGCTTTATAGCATAATGGCCTGCAGATGTCTGCGGATAACTTAACCCTACGTCGCCACCCCCAAATGGACCACCCCTTCACTCTCCCCCTGGTCCCAGCCACAGCATACCTTAGAAATGCAAACCCAGGGTGAGCTACTACTAGCGTTGTTCTTGGCCTTTGGAGTCAAGATGGTCTGCTTCAAAGCATGGCTTTTAAGAGGTATGCAGACTCGCATGCATGTTTGTTCAGACAGCCCCGTTGGCTGTTTGCGAGAAGCCGTTCTTCGAGAGTGTTGCCTATAGTGCTGCCGTACTGTTCCTGCAATGCTCTCATGTTTCCTGTGGGATGGCTTAACTGAAGGTGGCAAGCAGCCCTCCCGGATCATTTCTGGGAGGGTTATTGGCAGTTATCAGCTGCTGGAGAGTGGGGATATCCTCATCTCCTTCTATAGTTCCTGTGGAAACTCCCCCTGCACACACTCATGATTTCTCTGCAGGATGACTTGGTGAGAAGGGAAAGGAAGGAAAGGCGGTGTGAGCCCCTGGTATCCACAAACCTGGTCCCATTGTGGATTTTGCTATGACACATGAAAACTAAGCGTGTCTCTTGTCATCCACAATGTGGGTATCGGGAGGTGAGCCTCCCCAGGGAGACTGGATCCAGGGAAGGAGAGGCTGGTCAGGTCCCAGAAGATGGGATTTTCTGATTGAGGAAGTTTGGTGTCCTGTGAGGAACCATGCCACACAATCGATCATCAGTACACAGCTCTGGTGTGAGGCGGGCTGGTTGTACCACAAGTATTCTTGATTCACGTGATGATAAGCACAGGTGCTAACATGTCCTGTGGTGGTGGACTTGTGAACCTAGTTTACTAGACAAAGCTGTTTAATCCTGTCTGTGAAGCTTGGGAGACTGTAGACCTCCTGGGGTGGTTTCCACGTGGCCATCTTTCCAGCGAGATGGGTTAATTATCTGGCCATTTAGGGAAGAGACCATTATTGGGTGCATCTTGGGGGGAAGTGTTATCTGGCAACTATTTGGGTAGAAAGGAGGGAAATATGCTATTCCTATTTCAGCCAGGTATACCCAAGTCAAAAGGAAACAGAACCTGTTAGAAATGGAAGTTTCATCCGTCGTGTTAACTTTACATGTCAAACTATTGCGCTGGTGTAGGCGGATTTTTTTTTTTTAAGCAAAATTTCAGAATGATGACTTTTGGCCAAGGCAAATAATAAAGCAGTGTGTGGTCTTCAACAGCCTACCAGAGACCCCCTACCTGATCAAATTCGGGCTGTGATTTTTTTTTTTTCCTTTTCAACCTAATACCAGGTTCCCTGGGGAAGCTGGGTTCAAGGAATCCCAGGTTCTTGTATGTGACTCTGCTTCTTTCCGGTGACTCCATTTCCCTGTTATCTGTTTTAGAAACTGTCTGGGAGGAAGATTAACCCTGTTCTGCGGATGTTTGGGCAGTCCATATCTGGAGGCATTGATATGGATGGAAATGGCTATCCGGGTAAGCTGTTTTTCTTTAAAAACACATGAGATGAAGATTCATGAAATAGAATAATTGTCACTTTGGACAGCCGTTGTTGCATCCATTTGGGATTAGGACAATTCACACAGTAGAATGGGGTCTTTTGCTTAGTATTTGATTTTAAGGTTAAAAATAGTGTTGAAGGGTTTTTTTTTTTTTTGAGTTTTAAAATGATTGACAGGGTTAAGTAGCAGGTAGGTGGATTTTTTAGTGATTTCTGTGGTAGCAGTTCTAATGAAGAAAAAAGAAAGCATTGTCCACATTTATAATGCTATATAATGAAACCTCATTTTCCAAAAATATTTGACCATATTCAGAGATGTCTCATTTTTGAGAGGGAAAAGGAGCATGCACCTCCCCATACACACAAAAGAAAATTACTGAAAGATTTGGATAAGAAGAAAACCATGTTGTTCTGTTGATGGAGAGCAGACCTTCACTGTTCAAGGCTGGCTGGCTGGTGTTCTAGGTTAATTGGTGTGTTGTAGTGGTTGAGGCTAATTGAATAAAAATTACAGTTTCAAAACCCACCCCAAGTGATACCTGGTTTAGGTCAAGTGGTTCTTTGCATGTTTGAAGATGAGGACGTGCAGACAAGAATTTGAAAATATCCAAAGTCGTCATGAAGTGCTGAAAACACTTCCCCAAATATATACTCATCTTTTGAGAAAAATATTTTTCTCTTCAAATCTGTGCAAACTAATGCCATCCTGAATGAGGATGCCTATTTTTGTACAAATGGGAGTTTTGAATGTCCTTGAGACTACAGAGCCGAGAGGAGTAGTAATAGAGAGGAGTTAGTGTGGAAACTTTGGCCCCAAGATAGACCCTCCTGGATCATCTTTTTTTTTGTTTGTCTTTAAGTTTAGGAAAGTGGTGGTTCTTGTTACGGGTGATTAAGGTCAACCTCAGATATCTCATATGGGTTGAACATTTCAAGATAGGCAGAATGCTGCCATATCCAATGGCCATCTCAGTGATGTCATAGGGATAGGGAGGACGGGAGGGGGTATTTCCCCACTTTATAGTTAGCATCTGTCTCAGAGGGGGTTGGGGACTGACCGGAGCCTGCAGCAATGGGCGGGACTCAGATCTCCCGCGTTGCTTTGCTGCTTCTCTATAAATGCATGATGGTAAGCAGATGTGGTCACATTTCACAATGGATCTGAACGACTTTTTCGAGTTTTTCTTAAGAGGAATGACAAATTTGTCATGTTCTTTAATTTTCAAATACCAGTCTGCTAAAAAAAAAAAAAAAAAAAAAAAAAGTTGAAGAACAACAAAATTAATAAATACACCCAAGGGCAGAAACATTAGGAACAATTTAATTCATGGATTTGCTGTGTTTTTCCTTAATGAGGGCGTGTACAGATGTTCTCTGTTTATGATGGGCAGATTTAGATTCCAGTTTAGACTCTTGGACTCAGAGGCTTGTTTCTATGAACTATGATGGAGCCCTAGGGCTAAGGGGGGGTGGGGATGGGGGTGAGAAGGAAAGGCAGACAGCTATTGGATGAGTGAATACTTCCTAAATTAAAGTTATTTAGAAATAAATAAAAATTACTAACAGCAGGGGTGCTACTCAGTGGTAGCGTGCTTGCCTGGCATATGCAATGACCTGCATTTGATCCCCAGCATGGCAAAGGAAAAAGAGAACTCTTCTTGCACCACAAAACATGAATAGTTAAACCAGTGTTTTGGTTTATAGTTTACCAAGTATTTTTATAAATTTTTAAATTTAGCATGTGTAATAGTAATATTTGACATGTGCGATAATTTTTCTCAAGTATTATAAAGTATTGACAGCTTTTGAAGATGGTCCTGCAAATAATGATTCTACACTCCACAAGACACAGGGACACACTGAGGTCACATAGAGTGAGGGTGAAAGGGGATTATTCCATGGTTCGGAGACCCTAGAGCATTTTCTAAGAGTTATTTAATTTAGGGTATCCCTCTCTTTAACTCGTCAATTAAAAAGTAAAAAAATCTGAGCTATATATGTAAATTGAAATATGTTAGTAACCACATTAGAGTTATAGACAAAATAAGTGAAGTTAATTTTTATAATGTTTAATCCCAAATGGCCAACATGTTATCATTTTAATACATAATCAACATAAAAGCCATTAATGAGTTAATTTTTTTTAAAAATTAGGATTTCAAAATCTGGTGTGCATTTTACTCTTAGAGCCCATCTCAATGCAGACACATTTTAAGGTCTTAATAGCCATATGTGGGTTGGCTGCCATTTGGGACAATGTGACTCTGATTCTTACAATCATTACATGGTGCAGACAATGGCAGTCAGAGGTGTCTGTTGCTGTCATGTGTCATGCCAGGGCCAGTGGGTGGCCTTCCATAAGTTTCTGACTACTGTGACTTCTTGTTTTCAGATGTCACTATTGGAGCCTTCATGTCCGACAGTGTGGTTCTTTTAAGGTGAGGTGCCTCACCCCTGCTCCTTGGGTGTGTTCTTCATGGGGAGGGGTGGGACTGGTGGGGGAGGCACAGTGTGTATTCACTGATGGGCAGCTTTTCCCTCTGCTGAATTTTTTTGGGGGCTGGGAGTGCTTAGTGGATGCAAATGTCTCATTCTTTTCCTCCAGCTGTTGGGCCTTGAGTGGCTTATAGGTGGGGGATGATAGCAGGATTTTTAGAGACCTAAACCTAGGGGCTGTTTCCTTGTGGTCATGAACAGCAATATAAATATTAATGATAAATATTATCATTTTTGATGGGTGCTATGATATTCAAAGGGCTGGGAAGTACTGTCCTTCCTACGTTTTATCTCTGTACCCAGCTTCTTTATATCAGTTAGCTCTCAACTTCCAGAGATCAGGGGCACTTCACTGTTTGGTGGCAGCAGAAGTGTGAGGACTGTGAGCTCAAGTTTAGTGCTCACTGAAGCCCATTGAGTCAGGATCTCTCCTTCAAAGACTGGTGTGTGGGGGGTGGTCGCCATCACCACCCATGAACCATCTCTAAGTATTTCTGTCTGTGTGAGTCAGAGGAGGCAGAATTACACTTTGGAGTGGGAGCCAACTCTTAGGTTTTGTTAGTAACCTCATGGCAGAACGTTCTAAAATAGACTGATAGGATCTTAGAACTGGAAAGGATCCCAGAGGCCACGTAGTTCCATGCTCCAGATACTTCTCATTCAGTCCTGCCTTCTCTGAGTCTCCCCCAGAGACACACACAGCCTCCTGAATGAGGTGCCATGGCTTAGGAACTTCTAAGGAAACAGTTGATCCCCAGGTAACTCTTAAATATTGCATTGTTAAAGAGGCAGAATGACCTTGAGGTTGAGTGTGACCTTGGGGACCAGGTGGCCTGGATTCAAACCTTGCCTGTGTCCTTAGAAAGGCAAGGTCCTGACCTTCTGCCTCAGGATGCTCGTCTGCAGAACAGGATGTTCTTGGCCAGAACTCCGTTAAATAGTGTAAAGTGCTCTTAGCAGTGCCTGGCCTCCTTCTCCCCAGGTTAGCAAATCTTATGATGTAAATTGGGTTAAATTCACCTCACTGAGGTTCTGCTTCCTGGTCTAGCATTTTCTGCACAGCAGCCCTTCAGTGTGTGAAGGTAACATTTATATCCCCCAGGCAGGGATTCACGGAGATCAAACCTCCATGGTTCTTAATTCTCCATCTTGACTGGGTTTTTACTTTCTTTATCACTCTTTTCTCTGGGGTGATGATTTTCCTCTTGTGTAAGACAACTTTTGAGGCTCCAGATGATGGAGGAGATTAAACTTATGACTCATAGTTCTCACTCGCCTTCCTTGATATGTTCGTACTCTCTTCACCTCCTGAGCAGCCTGATCCCATTTGTTGAGATTGCTCTCAGATACACCATGACACGTTCCTTGGCTTCTCAGTTGAAAATAGGCCTTCTTGATCCTGGGAGCATCTGGCTTTAAGTTCCCTTCTGTAGGTTATTTTATCATCCTCCTTCCGTCTGTTGAATTTCTTTTGGGCTGGAGGTGCATGCGAGCTCCAAAGGGCTTTTCTTCCTTCATGAATGTTTTTTGTCTTCTACACTGATGTGAATGTTGAAGTGATTGCTTAGTGGACCTGAGATCTCAGAATCCAGCCCAGGGTGAGGGGTTGAGTCTGATGAGGTGAAACTTATTAGGGACAAATGTGAAATCCAGGGAGGAGAATGCCAGAGAGAGCACAGATCCAAGGAAGGAGTCTAAGAAAGGAACTTGAGAGCCCCAGCCTGGATGAGGAGCCCAGAGGCCAGGCCAGCTGTGGAGGAGCTCATGGGGATGTTGAGATCCCAGGAATTCTTTCACTTCTTTACTCAGCCCGTCATGTTGACCTGTTGAGATGCAACTACGCACATGTCAGATCCTGGGGATTCGGTAGAGAACTTGACAGACCTGGTCTAGCTCCTATACAAATAGGTAATAACTGCAACTAATGTTGGATGAATACCTACCATACGCCAGACGCTGTCTAAGCATTTTACATAAGGTCCTGCATCAAGTAACCGCTATTCATATTCAAAGACATGAATGCTTGGCTAGGTGACTTTGTCACTGCAAGTGTCAGAGCATATGCTTACGGAACCTATGACTCACTAGGTGATGCCATCTCCAGACCTCTACCGTACATGCCGTCTGCCATCCCCTGAAATGTTGCATGTGTCACGTGACTGGTATTTTCATTCTTTGTGGTCATTTTCTTCTGGTGTGGATGTATAATTTGCAAACAGTAAAATGTGCCAATTTGCGTGTATGGCTCGATGAGTTTTGACTAGTAGACACACCTGTATAACTGCTATCTCCCATCAAGATAAAGAGCATTTCATCACTACTTAGTTTCCTTGTGCTCTTTCTGATTATCCCATTCTCTTGATAGACAGCCAGGCACTCTTGTGACTTCTGTCCCCCTCGATCACTTTGGCCTGTTCTGGGATTTCACATAAATGGAATTAGAATGGGCTCTCGATTCCGGTTTCTTTAATGCAATGCGATGTTCTCAAGATTGTTCCGCGTTGGGCTGTGTTGATTGTGCTGGGATTTATTCACTTTTCTCTTGACAGAATATGCATTGACTCCCTGCTGCTTACCAGTTCCATGATATAGGTATGGTTATCATTCCCATTTTATGGGTAAAGAGATCAAGGGCATGCAGATTTTATTAACTTAAAAAAAAAAAAAGTAATTACAGATGGTGTGCCATGAAGACAGCAAAGCAGGGTCACGAGGTCAAGGGCACTGGTTTTGGTTTCAGGAAGGGCTGAGTCCCGTTGGAGGTGACAGAAGCCAGTGGTTCTGTGGCTTTGGCAGCTTTGCAGGAGTGATGGGGCCTGAGCCAGATGGCTGTGGGTGGGTGAGGGAAGGAGAAGCTGAGAGCACAGAGCGACTCTTGACTGCCTCTCCAGGAGCTGGGCGGCTAAGGAGCAAATGGAATTGGCAGGTGGTTCGGAGAGGGTATTTTAAGGATGGCAGGAGTTAGGCCAAGGATATCTGTGAGAACTTTCCTCATGTCCTAAGGCCCTAACCCTCCTGGAAGGGAACAGAGGTGGTCAAGCTCAGCTGTATCCCCATTCATCTGAGCCCTGCTACCCTGACCCCATTCCTCCCTTGGGGCCTGGAGAGGTTGCTGTGGGTGGTTGGTGGGGGGTAAGGAAGGACAGGGCTGCTGGAGAGGGAATCTGGCATGCAGGCCGAGGGTGTGGGGGCCTCATCTTTTGGGTACCCTAGGATAGGAATAGAGTCAAGGGGAGGTTCAGCTTGAGATGAGGGTGAAGCTGAGGATGCTAACCCCCCAGTCTATTCCAGGAGGTCAGGGGACTTGGGGAACAGTGGAGGTTTCAGAGATGAACTGTGGAGGGAGCAAGGAGGGACAGGCAAAGGAATCATCAAGCTTATCTGAGGGGCCATGTAGGCTGGACATCTATGGTGGCATCATTAGGATCAGGTTCCTGGGATATGACTGACTGACAAGGAACAAGAAGGCCTGGAGGTTTCAGCTGATCTAAGTAGGGTGCTCAGACATGACTTGGGTGCTGGGCAAGTTCATGGATTTTTGAGTGACCTCAGATTTTGGGTGGGACCAGAAAAGGGGGGAGGCCCAGGACCATCTCCACACTGTACTTGATCTCTTGATCTCTTCAAGGAGAGACTGCAGAGGGGCATAGGTTAGGAATGCTTGGGCTGCAGCTCAGAGAAGACCTGACTGAGGGTGGCTTCCAGTGTAAACAGATGTAAGTCTACTGGAGGTAGAGAGCCCCAGGGCTTGCTGGTGGCGAAGTGTCACCAAGAGGGTAGGCTCTTTATATGTCCACCTGTTTCTACTCTGCAAAAGACAAGAAAAAGTTTGAGCAACACCGTGCCACAGGGTGCCCCAGCTGCTTTTATTACCCACCTAGAAACGGAATGTTAAGATTTGAACTGTCAGTTGTAAGAAACAAGCATTCCAGCTACCAGCCTCTGGGAAGTCTGGAAAGTACTGCAGTGCTGTCCTCGGGTGCCCTTTGCTTTTATCTTAGAGGCTGGGGCATTTGCAGGCAGGACTGTGAAAAGCCATCTCCTGCCCCAGGAGGGCGGGCTAGTGGGCCCTGCTCTGCCCTCAGGAAGTTTGCTTAGGAGGGCAGGCTCTGTGTTAGGGTGATAGGTACCTGGTGCTTTGCCATCGAGGGGTAAAGGAAGTGATCAGAGACGCTATGAAAGATTTCTGGGCTTTTCCTCATCCAAAAACAATACTTGGAGCTGAAACAAAAAGGTTTGAGGGAACCTATCTGACAGATGTTGGAAGGAGATGTACCCGTGAGAGTCCCTGCCGACTGTTTGAAAGGATTCTGTTTCCTAACCTTCAAGGTCATCGTGTGGGGACTGCTCACGTCTGCCTCCTGCTTGCCTTGCGCTGTGCAGCAGAGCTCTCTAATGACAGGAGAACTCAGCCCGTTCCCTGACCAGGTAGCCTCTGGCCCAGGGGAGCAGGAGGACATGGACTTTTCTTGGGTTCCAGGACCAAGCAGCTCAGGGATTGCAGGGTGGGGCTGTCTGTCCCAGGCAGAAACCAGCTCTCTCCAGTACCTGATGCCTCCTGGTCTCTCTTGTGTCTCCCGAAGCTTTGGGCACTGCTGTGATTTTCAGTTTCCTGGGCTGCAGTAAAGTTTACACCTACTTTACACATCTCCTGTCCTGCAGTAGTGTCCAGCATAAGGATGAATTCATTGGGATCTCAGTTCTTGGTGGGGGACTGATTTGGAAAAACCTAGCACTGTTCTCCTTAGCAAGGGTGGTGGAGTGGGGCCACCGAGGGAGCCAGGGGTTCTTGGGAACTTCCTGGGAGAAGGGACCTTGCCGCTGGCTGTTGAAGAGTCAGTGGGGCTTTCTGCAGTGTTCATTGGCATACAATCGTGCTGACCAGGGGTAGCCTATCCATTTTCTAAGGTAATTCTAGCATTCTCAGAATGAACCGAGAAGAAAATTGAGAGGCCAGGATGTTGATATCCTTCAGGCACCATTGTTGTCCCACTTCCTTTTGCCCTACAGCCGGATTTGCTCAGGGAGTCCCGCTGCCCCTCTGTTGACCCTCCTGTCCCAGGAGTGGTGGCAGCCGCTGGATCACCCTCACGCCATCTGCCGCAGGCAGGCCTCACTTCCTTTTCCCACCAAGGTTTTCTTTGCTGCTTCCTTCTCTTGGAGTTGGTGGATTGTCATTCCCATCTGCCCATCACCCTGGGCTCTCTTTGAGGGAGCATGGTATACAAGTGAGGTCATTGTTCCCAAGCCACTAAGGTCCCTTAATCTCATTATGTCACCCCTATGACTGACACTGGGGCTCCTTAGAGGTAAAAGGCTCTCAGAGGCCTGCAGGGGAGAAGGTTAAGCGGAGGCTTAGGTGAAACTTCCCTGAGCAGATGTTTGCCATGAGAGCAGAATTTTGTCCATCTGTTGGCTTGGATGGACACTGACCATCCATGAAGAGCTGGGGGATGGGCCATGTCAAGGGAGAGGACTGTGAATGTTTATTGGGTTTGATTTGATTCTGAGGCCAGGCGGGTTGATTTTTTTTTTTTTTCTGCCCTTGAAGTGCTTTGCTGTCACCAGCAGGGACTTCATTAATCAAGGTCATTAAGAAAAATGGTCCCTGAATTGGTAGAGATAAATGAAGGAGGCGGTTCAGCCAGTTGGAGGGACTGCAGTTTGTGCTTACAATGGCAGTGAATGCTTTGGAGGACACCTGAGCTTGCCCCTAGTTCTTGAGCCCTGCCTTCTGGTGTAGGAACTCCTCTTAAATACACCCATAGCTCCCTAGTAAGTGGAAATCAGAACTTATTTGATAAAAATTTTTAAGTAATCACCCGGCAGCATCTGGTGGTTCACTTATGGCTTCAACCAGATGTGTTTGATTAACAACTAACTTGCCTTTATTATTAGAAGGCTAACCATTAATATATTAGGAAATGTGCTACTTTTAAGACCAGAAAAAGTATTTACAGAGCACACTGGACCTTCTCTCTTGGGGTTCTTTTTTTTTTTCTTCATACTTTAATCAAATGCTGGCTGAAGGCCTGGGATTTATCCTGTCTATGTAGTTCTTGTTTGATTCCCGAGAGCTGTTCTTTACCATGACTGAGTCATCTTCCCCTCTTGCCCTGCAGGGCCAGGCCGGTCATTACGGTGGACGTCGCCATCTTCCTCCCAGGCTCCATCAACATCACGGCGCCTCAGTGTCATGATGGACAGCAGCCTGTGAACTGCCTGAACGTCACGGCCTGCTTCAGATTCCACGGCAGACACGTTCCGGGAGAAATTGGTAATGAGTCACCGAGTCAGGGCTCGGGTTACACATCTTAGCTGGAGTAGGATTGCAGGATGGTGGGCAGCTGTGGGACATTTCGGAGTTTTCTCCTGCCCTGCATCGGCCGGCTTTGCAGGCAGCAGATGGGTGGGCTGGACACCCCTTCCCTCAGAGCTCCCTCCCCTCTCTCTCCTGCTCATCCACAGCTCTAGGACACATGATGTTGGACCCCAAGCATCCTTTGCCCAATGTACGTGGACCAGACTCAACTTCACTGGACCATGGGCGGGCCAGGCTGTGGGAATGTGGTGCCAGGGAGCCTGGGTCTTATGGAACATTCCATGCAGTTAGAAAAAAAGAAGTGATGGTCTTTGGAGGCTCCCCGTGGAGTTTGCAGCATCAGCCAGATGTCGGGGGGATTATTCCATTTACTGTGGGATCAGGACGTGGAGTTTTCAAAGGCTTAGGTTTTCAAAAGAGGGGGCCCTGCTTTGGCAGTGCAGAGAAAGCAGGTGGTAGCTGTCCCTGCTATTTCTTAGACTGGGGGGAAGGCTGACTTGCTGTCCTGCCTCCAGAGACTGGATGAAGCCCCAGAACAAGACAGGGTCAGCGTTGATTAGAACACAGAGCACGGGATCATTTGGAGGAAATGATTCCAGGATATTATGTAGATTAATAGGTGCTTTGTTTGTACTTGGCAAGGCTGATTGAGTAGAAAGAAAAATTCCACGCGAACAAACAAAATCACGATAAAAGCCTGTATCTCTTTTCCAGAGAGCATTTGCAGGCCAGGGCCATTCTCTTGATTTCCTTCGTTGGTCTCTTGAGAAGCGCGGAGATGGGATCGTGAGGCAAATCCATGTTCGATCAATAGTTATGAGGCCCTTACAAAGTGCCAGACACTGTTCAGCCCTGGGCACAGAGTAATAGACAGGATGGGCATAATCCTTGCCCTCATGGGGCTTTTGTTTTGGGGGGAGAGGAGTCTTTCTTGCTCGCTCTTCTAGACACATGCAGGCTCCTTGGTTGGCAGATTTATGCTGGTACATGAACACAGATTTCTCACTCCAACAGTGGACTCCCCCAAGGGCAAGTTCATAATGTGTTTAAGTAGTTAAAAAACAAGAGTTCTGCCTGTCCCCAGGAGTGTTATTCATCACTTCATCCTTTCCCTGGGGAGCTGCTTACGGCCTCATGGAGCCTCCTGGTTGGCCAAAGGAAGGGTAGATAGTGATCTTGCTCCTCTCTGGACAGGCTGAAGCCTGACCTGTTCATTTCTCTCCCTGAAGGCTGGGAATCCAGGCTGGCACCTCTGGACTCTCACCAGTGTTGAATGAAAACCAGGGTGGGTTTGGGGGTGAGCCCTCCATGGTTCTGTTTTGCACACTGACCCAGTGCTGCTGCGTTTCCATTGGCTGTCAGATAGCCTGATGAAGTTGTGAGTGAGCAGAGGTGTCTGCCCTGCCTCTGGACAAGCTATCGAGCCCAGGGCCTGAGAGCTGGCCATTCACACCAATAGGGGAAATTGGGTGGAAACGCGCAACTTGACCATGGGCCCTTTTTCTGCTTTAGGGATGCATTTCTATTCTGGAGAGTGTTTGCATGCAGAGAACATCCTCTGAGTCCTGGTCTTTTGAGAAGCAGGCAGTGGGATAACAAGGGAAAGTGAAGATGAGTGAGGAATCGGGGAACCTTCAGTCTGGTAATGACTGCGTCATTCCTTGAGGAAAAGAGGAAGAAAACGTAGGAAAGCTGTTAAAGTAGAAATAACCCTTTCGCCTTTCCTCCTGGGAAACTCTAAGGGAAACCCTGGAAGGAGAATTTATGAGTAGATTTTTCCCAGCAGAAATCTTCTTCTGATGGAGAATGGGAATGATTCGAAACTGGCTGGGAGAGACCAGAGCCAGAGTTGATGGGAGACAGCTGGCTCCCTCCTGGCCCAGGCTGGTGTGGGGGGTCCTAAAGAACCAGCTGGGGGCAGGGGAAGGAGGGAGGGAAAGCATCCCTCGGGGCTCATCAGCTTTTCCATCAACATGACATCATTTGACATGGCAGGAACCCGAGCTGCCAGAATGGAAAACCTGTAGCCGTGAGATGTGCTGTTGGAGCAGGGCCCGGATCAGAACCAGCACCCTCTCGGGGCTGGTTGTCTGCCTCACGTGAGGGGCAGCTACAGTACGCCCCAAACCAAGTGAGCCGATTGGCTGCTGCTCTGACACATTCTCCACTTCCCATGGAGCCCATTCCCAGCCCCATTGGGGACTTGGGTGAGTGCTGTTTAAAACTATCAGTGGAGCCCAGAGCTGCAGAATGATCTTTGTTTCTTCTTACTGCCTGCGGCTACAAGACCCTCCTCACTCAGGCAGGGTTTCTCATGGTGCATCTTGCTTCTAGAAGAGTCCGACACAGAATTGACTATTTTTGGGGTCATTTCAAATGTCAAAATAAATTTTGAACCAAGGAGAAGCAATAAGTAGACGGTTCTCGAGATGAAATGCTTCCAAAATGATTGCACTTGGCGAATAGGCTAATTCAGTCTGTCCATGATTGTTACCTTTCAGATTTTTCTGAAATGTTGAGAGTGTTGGCATGCACACTCCCGCCTGGGGCAGAGCAGTGTGCCTCATTTTCAGCTCAGTCTCTGAGCTGCTGCTCTTCCTCCCCTTCCTTGAGTTGCAGGAGATGCCACATGTCTACAGTTCTGCAGTTTGAGGATGGAGGTTGGTGTTTTTTAAAGTACCCAATCCAGTGCTGGGCACATGTTGAAGGTCAAATCCATTCCCTTTTCTTGACTTCCCTGTGTTAATCTGGGTCATCCCCCAAATAGATCTAGAGTCAAGGATCCAAGTGCACATCATTGATTCAGGAGTAAACTCTGAGCCGGGCTCGGTGGCCCATGCCTGTCATCTCAGCAATTCAGGAGGCTGAGGCAGGAGGATCACAAGTTCAAGTCCAGCCTGGGCAACTTAGCAAGACCTTGTCTCAAAATGTAAAATAAATAAATAAATAAATAGGACCGAGGAATGAAACTCAGTGGTAGAATACCCCCTGGGCTCATTCCCCAGCATCACAAAAACAAAACTAGCAAAACCAGGGGTGATCCCTGGCAGCACCAGTAGGGAAATGGGGTACTGAGACAGCAAGGGTGGGCAGCTGTAGTCAGAGAAACGGAACAGGGAAGGAGGGAGACAGAAAACAGATATAAATATGAGGTTGGTTGGATGATGATGATGATTATTGGTGCTGGGGATTGAACACGGGGCCTCTCACATGCTAGGGAAGAGCTCTACCACTGATCTGACCCCTGACCTTGATTGACTGATTTTAAAGAATTAGTTAATAAGATTGTAGGGGCTGATACATCTGAATTTTGCAGGGCAGGCAATAGGCTAGAGACCCAGGGCATAGTTGAGGTTGAATCTCAAATCCAAAGCAGGCTAGAAGCAGAATTCCTTCTTTCTGTGAGGGGACCTTAGTTTTTTGTTTTTTTTTTTTTTTAGACTAATGATTGGATGAAGCTCATCCACAGTATAGAGATCAATCTGTTTTATTTAAAGTCTGATTTAAATGTTGATCTCACTTTAAAAATACCTTCATAGTAACACTGAATTGATGCTCGGCAAAATATCTGGGTATTCTGTACAGCTCAGCCAAGTTGACACATAACTATCCTAGCAGCCATATAGGTGTATTACTCAGCAGGTTACCCATGTGGGCAGTTGGAACTTGTGGGGGAACCCTGAAAGTCAGCTCTGAGGCACCTTCTCCACTATCCCATCTAAAGGCTGAGGGAACAGGGATCCTGCCCCACGGAGGGCTGCCCAGGCCCTCTGGCCTGCCGTGCATGTTGGCAGAGCCACTAGAGAAAGCCCTGGGTAAAGGGACGCAGGTGCTGGTAGCTGCAGGTTGGGCTGGACCGCAGAGAAAGGGTTCGGGCCAAGAGGATATGGGTGGGGGATCGATACTGTCTGCTCTGTCTTCCTGTGTTCATTTCCACCCGGGGTTTTCTCTGAGCTCAGCCAATTTGTCTGTGGCACAATAGCTCTGTTCTGTTCTCTCCATTACTCCCTTTCCTGAGGCTGGCACCGTAGTTCTCTCACTTGGGAGGAAGGCTAGCCTGGGGCCACCGAGGACAGGCTACTTGGCAGCTGCCACCCTAAGTAGGTTCCCTGGCCAGGATCCTTCAGCTTGTCTTCCAGCAAGCAGTGTACTCTCCAGCTAAATGGGGCTTGGAGTCTCACTTCATTTCAACTTACACCCCCCACCCCACTTTTTTTTTTTTTTTTAACTGTTGGTCAGAGGAGTTGTAATCACTAGAAAGCAGATTGGTTGGAGTTCAGTAGTTCTGGATCTCTTTCTGTGTTTGGTTCTGTTTCTGCATCCAAAAAATAAGTTTTTAGGTGAGGTCAGGTAATTAAAAAAAAAAAAAAAAGGCATCAAGAACCAACATGGTAGGGCTAGTCCGAAACCAGAGACTAGAGTTCTAGATTGCTCTCTCTGGCAGATGGCTCTGGCTTGGAACAAGTCTTTTCCCCTTTTGGACCTCAGTCCCCTCATCTTAAAGGTGGAGGGTTTAAACTAGTTGGTCTCCACATTGTTGCAAAGCTTCAATGGCCCGTGAATCCACAGCCCTTTGGTGTGTAACCCTTGAACTAGTGCCCATGTTTCCTGTGTTCAAATGGTTTCCCATATACATCTTTTCTTCTTCCCTCTTCCTCCTCGGGGCTTCATACATGCTATGTAAGTACTATACCACTGAGCTACACTCCCAGCCCTTTTTATTTTGAGACAGTCTCATGAAGCTGCCCAGGCTGGCCTCCAACTTGTGATCCTCCTACCTCAGCTTCCCAAGTAGCTGAGGTAACTGCTTTGTACCATTGCACCCAATTCATACCATTCTTCTTAACGGTAATACTATCCTGGGATGATCCATGACCTCGGTCCCTCCTGCTGACCCAGCCTTGCTTTGGAAATCAGCTGTTTCTGGAACAAACAAGTTGGGGCAGGCTTGCCCTTGCTAACCAGGAATCCGCCTGCTTGGTGTGGCAAGAGCCCTGACATGGCAGTAGCCCAGAGAAGCAATTAGATGCAGCAGAAAGCCTGCCCAGGTCACCTTCCTCTCACCCTGGTTTAGACCTCCCCCTTTGATGTTAAAAGCCAGAGCTGCCCGCTGCCTGGCTTCATGGACCTAATGGCTGGCAGACACAGAACTGCATTTTATTGGTACCGAGGCCCTGGGTTCTAAGAGGCAGATGTGTAGAGATGGGCCTGGGTCATCTGCTTTCCCACTGCTCCGCCATCTCCTCCAGTTGCTTTAGGAATGGAGCTTCCTGTTATCTTATTTAAAACCATCAATATCTTCTCAATCCACAAAACAGTTAAAAAGAGTTACTACTTTTCTGTGCCAAAAAAAAACGGTGAGAGGGGTCTGTTGATACTAAAGCCATATTTACCTAAGAAGCGTACTGTTATAATTTACTTGGACTCTGAAATGATGGAGGTAAAACATTTTGGGTTTCTCCAGCATGCCTTTGACCTTGTAACCCTCCTGTTTTCACATCCCAGTCATTCTGCCAACTACCATTAGACCTTCAGGTACAGAGGAGGAGTTTTGGTTTTTGTTTTTTTTCAGGGGTGGACCTCTATCCAGGCCCACTATGGCCCGGGTTTTGCTAGAGGGATGGGCACCTCAAAGTGCACGGTCACCATGTTTGGCCCCCTGAGAACGAGATCTGCTGCAGCCTTCCTCTGGGTTTTGAAGCATGTGGGCACCGTGAACGCGTGTCCTTGCCTATGTTGTCCCACCTTTACTCACAACAGCATCTGGCACGTAGTCAGTGCTCAGTAAGTTGTGAGTGCTGCAGTCCAGTGGACACAGTGAGCAGGACTCCTCATTCATGAGATGAGATGAAGTTATTGGACGTGATTGTTCCCTTGTGGTGGGTGGTCTCACCCAGGATAGTCACTGCATGGTGCCACCATCATTTCAGAGGCTTCTAGTGACCGGCTGCAGATGTGCCACGATGCTTGCTTCTCTGAACACTGCCCTGGGTCGGGTACAGCTAATGGTTGACGAGTGTGTCAGCAGCTCCCCTGGGACCTCGTGGCGGCATGAAGTTTAGATTGGGGTAGTCATGAGGTACATACATGAGTGTCACCACAAAGACAGAGTGCATCCTGGTTCTGTCTAGATTCTGTGAGCACCTGGCTGCACACGTCTGTCCCAGCAGGTCCTGACGTGGCCCACGGTCCTCCATGCTCTGGAGGGCAAGATGTCCTGTGAAACATGCGTGGATCCTGTGAGGGGGAGGGGAGGTGGCCTGGCCCCTCTATCTTTTCTGACATTTTGACCTCTTGTTTATTGGCAGGCCTCAATTACGTTCTGACAGCAGATGTGTCCAAGAAGGAGAAGGGCCAGCTGCCCAGGGTCTACTTTGTGTTGCTGGGAGAGACTGCCGGCCAGGTCTCAGAGAAACTACAGCTGACCCACATGGAGGAGACGTGTCGTCACTACGTGGCCCACGTGAAGGTCAGTCCCTTCTTCCTCCTCATCCTCAAATTCTGATGGCATTAGATGTTCTTTTGGAACTAGTCGAAGCTACTTTGTGTTTATGTGTTCTCCAACGTCCAAATTCTATTTCACAAGGAGAAGGATGTTTATTTCTTCCTACTGTTTTAAGTTTCTGACAGCCCTTTTATGTGTTTGATAGTACTGGTCTCAGACTCTGAGAGGGATTACAGGGACCAGGAGGCCAGTGATGATCCTGACTTTTGAGAGTGTTCTCATCCTCTTTCCTCTGTGAAGTCCAGTGGTCTTCCTGGAGGGCAGCCTCAGAAGCACATGCCTCCAGGCTTGCAGTAGTGCTGGATCTCACCATACCTGATGGCTTTCTCAGTAGCCCACTATCTATTTGTTCATAGGCAGAATGAAGGCATTTTAAAACTGGTTGGCCAAATTTTTCTTGCTTGATTACTTTTGTTTCTTTTAGGAGTGCATGTTTGACCTTTCCCTCCTATCTCTAAATCAACTTCCAAATGTTTTGTTCCTCTTGAAATTATTGTTAAATACACTTTGCTGCTAACACAGGATACTGGATTTGATTGAGTATAGAGTGGTCCCTTTGCCAGGTGGGACTCCTGGAAGTGCTTGATACTGCAGGAATGGTCAGCCACTGAGCCAGGGCAGGGCTCATGGTAGGTAGGTGGAATGCATGTGGGTTTTAGAGTCATACAGCCCTCGTGTGTATTCAACTGGATGAGCATTGTGCCCTCTCTGTGACTCAGTCTCTGACTCTATGAAATGCACACAATAGTATTTGCCTCGAAAGTGGCCATGTGAATTGAACACTGTGATCAATATACAGGTGATGATCAATTTATATTCTGTGCAGCCTACACTTGCACAGAGTCTGACAAATAGTAGGTATTCAGTGTTATTTGATTGGACTACACAGAACTGCCAATATTCTAACATTTTTGACTTAACAAAAAGGGTAATTTCTTATAGCTTAACTTGATATTATGAGCCAGTGGATTTCTGACTGATAGTAAAAATAGCGTATGGGTCAGAGATGAAGTCTCTTTCTATTATTACGTTGATGGTGCCAGATCAGGAGAATAACAGCTGCTTCTGGGGTGTGTATAGAGAAGTGTCCCCACATCTAGGGCACTTGCTCTGGCCCAGAGCCTATGAGTCTGTGCCCCTGAAATGCTTCTCACTGGGGCTGGGCTCTGTCCTCTGCCAGGACTCGTGCTGGGACCTGCCTAGACCAGCTGCCCCAGCACTTGAGGTGCCGGCCATTTATAAAGCTGCCCACGTTCCTGTTAAGTCCCCAGCCCCTGCCCCTCTTGCTCTTGGATTCCATTGGCTTGTGATTGCCCTTGGGGGTATGTGAGAGACTGCTCAGGACAGGCTTGTGTGCAAAGGCACTGAGTGTCCATGCTTGGTATTTTCACACTTGCTGGGGACAGGGCATCTTCTCTTGCACTTCCTTGTGCCAGGACTATGCCATCCGTGCTTTCCTTTGGGTTCTTTGTAACTTCTTGCTTTGACTGAGAAGTTATCCTTTGTGCATAGCCTACCAGGGGTCACCTCTGCAATTCAGGACCACAGAGAACCTGCATGCCTTTGTGACATGAACTCGGGGATGTCAATAGGGAGGACCAGACCTCAGCAGGGCTGCTCTGTGGCCTGTGAGGGCTACTGGGTGAGAGCAGGGCTGCCCCAGGGTTGGTCCTGTCACTTCCTGATAATCTAGGGTTGCCACATTTGGCAAGTAAAAAATATAGGATTCCCAGTTAAATTGGAATTTCACCTGAGCAAAGAGTAATTTCTTTTAGCATACACACAGAAGTTCCCCCTCAGCCATGGTTTAGTTTTCTGAGGATTCAGTTATCTGAAGTCAATCTAGATCTGAAAGTATTAAATAGAAAATTCTAGACATAACCAATTCATAAGTTTTAAATAATTCATTTTGTAGACCATTATAATGGTTGTATTTTACCATTAATTATTGTTTTTTTTTTTTGGGGGGGGGGAGGCACTCAGCCACTGAGCCACATCCCCAGCCCTATTTATTTAGTGACGGGGTCTCACTGAGTTGCTTAGTGCCTCACTTTTGCTGAGGCTGTCTTTGAACTCATTATCCTCCTGCCTCACCCTCCCTAGCTGCTGGGATTATAGGCATGTGCCACTGCGCCTGGCCATTAATTATTATTTATTTTTTACCTTGCCTAATTTGTGAATTGAGATTTACCATTGGTTCATATACAACATACATAAAACGGTATGTATAAGGTTCGGTCCTATCTGCGGTTTCATGTATACATGTAATGTTTTGGAACATGGAAAAGTAAGGACTATTGGATGTGCCAAATATTGCGTGGGACATACTAAAAACAATGTGTCATTGATCTGAAATTCACTTGTAACTTAGCCTCCTGGTAGCAGATTGCATTCTAGTGATCTTCCTCCATCCTGTAAGCAGGACTTCTCTGCTCAAACCCTGGCTGACCAAAGGAAAGACTTAGGTAGCCATGAGAAGAGGCGGAGAACAGAACTCTTGGGCGCAGGACCATAATGGACCTGTATGTGGTTATTTGCTCATGATATGGAGAGCCAGGGTGCAGGCCTGCGTTAGTGGACTGGGATGATGATGATGTTGCTTGGCCATTTTCCAAAGCAAGAAGGAGGGCTGAAGAGATACACCAGGAAGATACAACCCCTCTGTGGTCCTCGAGTCAACATTGCTCTTAAGGAGTGTTCAAGGTGCTAATCCTCGACAGCCACAAAGAAAGTGTTTTGCTATCACAGTCGGAGCCACAGTGGAGGACCTGTGGGATGGCGGAGTGCACAATCTCGGGCGAATGCTAGGGAGCTAGCTGGCTGCCCACAGTGCGGCCTGGCTGGCTGAGGAGGAAGCGGGCAAGGCCTGTGGTTTATCGGGTTGTGGGAAAACAGCTGTGGAGGCCGTGGCTCGTGTGGGGGCTGAGGCTAGCAGCAAGGATGGGGGAAGGGAGGTGACAACCATCGCCTCCAGAGCAGGGACCGAGGACTGGGAGCTGTGAGTCGGGGCTGAAGAGCAAAACAGGGTCTCTACTGCAGAGGGCTGGCACTCAGCTTTATAGACCAGCCACGGAAGATAAATACACGCATTCTGGCTTATCACACGCCATATGGCCAGCAGACAGTGAGGCCGGCACTGGGGCCGACCGAGTGTTTTGTTTAGGCTATCTTTAGGTCTTTTTTTTTTTTTTTTCTCCCCTTTAAGCCTATTCCAATTTTTTCTTTTTTTTTTTTTTATTCCTCAGAAATTTTCATCCCAAATATGGTGATGAGTTTTTTATCTCTTGCAGGAGCCTGCCTGGGCTAACACCTGCCTCCCAAGCCGCCTATGTCCTCCCATGCTCCCTTCCATTCACCACCCTGGTGGGGCCTCCTGAGTTGGTGATAAGCCACATTCTCCTTTTCAAGGCCTGACTGTGGTCAGTGCTGACGTAGTTCTAGCTGCTTCCTTGACCTTTCCTCAGACACCATGCACCCCAGCTTATCTCCCCTCCTCCTCCAAATTGGTCCAGCTTTGGGGATGGGACCCCTTCTACTTGTCGAGAGGGTTGGAGAGCTCTGCTGGGCCCCACAGTCACAGCTGAAACCAGACAGCTACCTCCAGCCTCAGGGCTATCCATGACTTGGCCTCGGTTTACCTTTCTAGCCTCCTCATCTGCCCCCACATCACGTGTGCCTGGGCTCTTGCCGTGAGCTCTTCCCATTCCTCCTAAAAGCTGCCTCTCGTGCTTCCCTGTCTTGGTTCTTGGGCTCACCTCAGTGGCTCTGCTCTGTAGTTATCAGAGCCTGGTTCTTGGTGTATCCATGTAGAAAAAACACGTACTACCTGCATGATTTTTGCATTTTTTTTGAGGGGGGGTGTCTTAAATCTCTACCTCCTGTCATACTTCTTATTTCATATTTTCTTTTAACCAGCTGACTTTCAGCCTTTTAGTCTTACGAAAAAAGAACTTTGACCCTTCCATGACCAGAAAATTAATTATTGCATGTCCCAAACAAAAAGTAACTGTAAAAGTAAACACACTGAAGACAACAGTGTCATTGACTTCTAGTGGGAGTTTATCCTTTGCCAGTTTCTGCAGAAGCACCCATGCTCCCTTTGTGTTAGAAAGGGAGATTTCCCGGGCCCAGGGAACATTAAAGACACTCGCCAGAGTGTTCCACAGTGGAACTTTCTCCCTGATGCAGTCAGAAGAATTGATGGGGAATCAACTGGGGACTAGATTTTCAAATTAGAGGATCCTACCATGGAGCCACGTCTATGGATCATCAAAAATCATTTCATAATCCCTGCCCCCCCCAAAGTCCTAACCAGGCTCTGCATTGATCAGAAATGCCTCGCCCCACCTTTCCTGCTGAAGGTTTGTCTGTTTTGAGAGGCTCAGTCAGTCCACGGGTTGGTGCCAGCCACTGGCCGAGCCCCTGGGAAGCTACCTTCATCTTCCTGTCTTGGAGCTGGTTCCATGCTGCCTGTTTCCTGCTTTGGGAATGATAGGCCCAGAATAAATACTTATAAACGGAACTTTGTTGGAGGGACCAACTGGGCCAGGTGGAGTTGGGGAGCATGGGAGCCTCTGATAGGGAGCAGGACTTGCTCACCTCCCTATGTGCTAGATGCAATGGCGTGAGCAGGTGGAGATTTCAATGTGTGGCATGTGCTGAAGAGTGGGTACCACTGCCCCATCGTGGCTGCTGTGTTTTCTTACATATATTTGTCCAGACGACAGCAGTGCTCCCACCTCTGGTCCTGCACAGTACCTCGAGGGAGTAAGCCTTGTGTGAGATCAATAGCTTGCACGTGTTGGGCAGGCAAGCAGCCCACTAAGGAGCCAAGCAATCATGGAAGCAGTTGAATTTAATGGTGGGGAAGACCAGGCAAAACCAAGTATGGGGCATTAGGTAGGTCATGCATTGCCTCCTGTGAGGATCAGGGACACCCTCCAGTAGGCCTTCAGGAAACCTTT